CAACTTTTAAACAACGGTTCAAGTTTCGCAATTTATTCACAACAACACTCAGAATAACGTAGCTATCAACCAGAGAAAGGATTATTAAAATCGGTTTACAGTTTATCCATTAGATGCAAAAAACAAGTTTTCACTTTAATAATTATATTGCTATGTAAAAAATAAAATTAACATGCCTATATGACATTTCAATATAATGTATAGAAAGGTAAATGTAAAATAATTGCTGCTCTAAATTGTAAATCCTAGTATAAAGTCGCATATTACAGCAGCTTAGTAAAATGTGAGAGCCGTTTCTCTTGACAAGTTAATTATGTGCCGCAGTAAGCAAAGCACCATAATCGTTCATTACCATGCAGTTCAGTATCTAATCCCGCGTGCTAACCCACGCCCGCTTGTCTGATGACTTAATTAATGACCCACCGTGTCACTGGTAATTAAACAGCTCTGCCTAATTGAAGTTCGCGCTTAGCCCTGCGGCTGCTCGTGGATTACAAACTAAATGCAATTTATTTATTACATTTTTATTTAACTAATCCATAAACATATAATCATACTATTATTATAGCGATATTTGTAGTGTGATTGTTTCTTCTTCACACTGTAACGGCGCTATTTCTAAATTGAGATTTATATCATGAAATAAGCTTTATAATCAGCGTATATACTACGCGGGTGAAGCTGCAGGCAACACTAGTATAGTTATGAATTGTTGTTATAAAAAACTTTGCCATTGAACAAAAGAATTGAATATGAAAAAAAACTTTACCTGTACACATGTTCGTTATATTGGTTAATATTTATATATTTATTTATTCATTTAAAACAGTATAATTATAACAAAAACAACTTAACGATAATAACTACATTAGTATAAAACTGTGTAGCAGTTAATAGCGCCCGCCTCACAAGCGTCGTAAATGACCAAAAACACACACACAAGTATTAAACAAAAGTAAGCACAGCAACAAAATCAAAATATTTAATTAAATAAACAAAAAAACCATGACAAGAATAAAAAAAATAGTTATGATAACATTGATTACGTATGTTTGCGAGCGCGCGCGTGTTTGTATGTAAGTGTATGTGTGTGTTTGTGTGATTATATATATGTGTCTGTGTGTAGATGAACTCTTAATAGAATACAGTAGCCAGTAGGTACTTTATATTACGTAGGTATTTGTTTTCTTGATTAATGATCAATAAATCATTAATTTATATACATATTTAGTTATTTTATTTCTTTAAAATTGTATTTAAACCTAAATTATTTAGTAGATATCGTAGAAATATACAATTATTATAATTTATAATACGATACGACTACGATTTCACGTTTTTACCGCACGCTTTTAATAAATTTTAAGTTAATACTTAAAATCCGAAACCGGTTATGATAAAATAATATTATAAATTTTTGTTATGCTTTTTTTTAATGAAAACCGATTTATGTTAATTGAACAAATTATGGGCCTGGTTGTTCGGACCCCTTCAGATTATTAAAATTATGTCAAGTAGTGAGTAACAAATTGGCCGTAACAAACCATTAAGAAGCCATTATTTCCTCATAATATTAGTATCAGAGCTGTCACATTGGTGATTAATTTGTTGTCTGTAAAGCAATTAGAGTAAATGACCGTTGTCGACGAGGTGTGACTGCGTGCGTGCGTATTCAAGCCGAGGAGGCAGGTGATTACCTCGCGGGCAGCGGGTTGCAGCTCATTGGAGTATTGACCGATGCTAATTATTAAACATCGTCTTGTGAACATGCTATTATATTTCATTTATACTCGATCTTTTACAGTATAATAGGCAGTTAAAAGTAAAAGCGCTTTGAATTTTTATTAGTACGCTATTTTATTAGCAAGACATAAAAATTGTCTCTTATAAGTTTATTTTTTACCATGTATACATGCTGTCTATATGTTCCTTCTATTAAAAGTCGATAAGAGTAAGGTAGTGTACACAACATAATTTATTGTCATGGTCCATTGCGAAAACAAAAATCTGATTAAAGAGCTGAAGAGTTTGTCTGTTTGAACGCGATATAGTGTCTGAGACTACCTGTTAGATTGGAAAATTGTTTATGCATTTTATGGCCAATTTATTGAGGAAATAAAATATATAGATATTAGATACTATAAACTATCTTCCATCGCGCTTTGACTTTTAGATGCGGAGCAATTATACATTAATAAATAACGCGGAGCCCCGGGCAAAAGCAAGTTATTTAAAAACTAATTTCTCTATTGGTATAACTAACATTAACAGACCTCACAAACCTCTTTGCCCTAAACCTGAAATATGGATAAATTGTTCGCGTGGGCTTTGAAAAGGATCATAATATTATGGTGTACATATAGGTATAAAAGTCCTCTTTAGTCTCTTCAGTTGAAAAGTCAGTCTAATATCTATTTTATTGATACTAATAGATTATAATTAGAATTGAATTCTACTTAAAGAATTTACATTTTAAAAAGAAAATCACTAAAAAGTAGAAAAAATAACTGATAGGTAGTTTTCATTTACTATAGATACCTAATCAAATACATATTCTTGAAGTCGGTGTGCTTTGATTTGTATCGGCTGATATGACTTCGAAAATATCTGATTAGGTATCTATAGTAAATGAAAACTACCAATCAATTATTTTATTACTAGTTTTTTTTTGAAGTGGGATTTTCTTCAAGTATTTATTTTTCCATTTTTAGTGTAGACTATTATAGATAGTAGTAGCAAAATAAAAAGAAAGTAAGTATTTTATGAATTCAGTAGGTGAAAAATCAATCATCCCCTCCTATTTTCTACACTTTTTTTTTTCAAATTCAAAAAGGCCCATTTCGGAATAAACCTCGTTGTATCCCGGAAAAATATACGGTTTCCGTGGGATAGAGTTTTTCACAGAGCAAGGGATTGACTACCTATTCCATACTAACCGTTAAAACGTACCGTAACGTACCTAGGGACGAATCGGAACGAAGCGAGGGTGAGTCGCGCTAAGTCCGTACTAATATTATAAATGTGAAAGTTTGTGAGAATGGATGGATGGATGTTACTCTTTCACGCCAGAACGGCTGAACAGATCTGAATGAAATTTAGCATACAGATAGATTATAGTCTGGAATAGCACGTAGGTTAATTTTATACCTGAAAAATGTATGGTTCCCTTAGGATAGATTTGTTTTTGTATAGGAACAAACCAGAAGCGAGGCGAGGGTGAGTCCCTAGTACCTTTTATAAATGCGAATGTTTGAATGGATGTTTGTTACTCAATCACGACAGAACGGATGAGCGGATCTGGATGAAATATATTAGTATAGTCTGGAATAGCACATAGGTTATCTTTATCCCAGAAAAACGTACGGTTCCCGTGGGATAGATTTGTTTTTGTTTTAACTAGGGACGGACCCGAGTGAAGCGAGGATGAGTCGCTAGTAGAAAATATATTAGAGAACTAGCTACTACGCAGGTATAATATATTTACGGTAATTAGATGACTAGTGAACACTACTTAATTTGTATAAAAAAATAATTATACGTGCTAGTTACTACTCATGTCAGTGATTGTGATGATTAAATGGTTTTTATTTTTATAGTTAATAACACCTAATGGCTTGTTATTGCCATGTTTCAACAACATGTACTTAATTTGCTGTTTTATATAAACACACACTACAACAGCAATTATCATCATACAGACAAGTATTTAAACTGAAATATAAACATTTTAAAGCTTAGTTATAATTATGATTAAAGCTCAGACTAAGGAATAATATATACAGAGTGTCACGGTACTAAGCATGAAGCTAAACAGAATGTTAATGAAAATAAAAAACAGTATTAAACCAGAATACAAATATTAATCCCTCCACGACCGCGGACACGCCGGCGTTACAGTTAATAATAGATTTCTTAGAAATTAAATTAATTTCTTAGAAATTTACCTGGAGTCGTTAAAGAATACTAATTACTGTGATTAGTAAATAAATAAAAATAGCTAAGCTTAACAGATTATTACATTAAAGCAAAAAGTAAACGTAAAAAAGGAACGAATATCATAAACATAATAACGACACTACAATTTTTACTTTGAAATTATTTTTGACGAGCTCCGTCTATGTAATTTTTTAGTCTCAGGTTAACGGATTAAAGTAAATGAAATTCAAAACCCCGACTGCAATTTGTAATTCTAAACTTAACCTGACTCCTTAAATTATTATTATTTGTAGATTAGAAATATTACAACTGCATAATAAGTGTATTATTATTCTTTGAGACGAACAAACGTTTTTTTTTTAAATCAGTACCTCCCGTTTTTTAAATATTAAATAAATGTAATAAACACTTAAGTTATAATGACTTTAATCAACTTATAGGTTTAAAACATATTTCGACATAGCAACATATTCATTAATCACGTAATCAATATGTAAAAAAAAGATAAAAATCTTAAATTATTGCTAATATTATATTTAAGCTGGCAAATTATATACTTCTTGATGCCACTTATTTGATATAACGTATTATAATTTATATTTTCATTGAAAAAAAATTCTAAATTGCAAATTTTAACATGTTATGTTTTTGTTGGGCTATTATACTTAACGTTGATATCACAATTTATGATGGTAATTATTATTCTTGATTTTCAACACGTTTCCACAGAATAATAACTTGAAATTGCATGCAGTTCGATGATTTTTCTCTCTCTGTTTAATTTTTCCAATATTATACCAATTAACAACAATCAATACAATAACATTAACGCGTACCCACTCCTAAGATGATTATTTTTTCCATTAATTCTAATTAAATATAAAATGTAGATATCTATGGCTCTATCACGATTAAGAATACATTTCATATGTTTTAAGTAGATTCGGTAGATAGGTAAAGTTAAAAAATCATTTTAATAAATGTTGACTATATATGAAAAACATTTAGCACTTCCGCAAATTATTATCATGATGTTTATAATTATGAATGCTTTTCTTCTTCAGGTTGCTGTAAAATGCGCTTCGTCTCCTCGAACAAACGCGCTATCAACAAAACCACGCTTGCCGCTGGCTGCATTGGCAGGCGATGCGACCCGCAATCACGCCACCAGCAATGTCAATTCACATGTAAGTTGCAACCTACATATTACTTTAAATCATTAATTATTACCGACCCAACTGCTCAAATAGTACCTACTTATCAACCAAATGCTTACTAATAGTTGTAATCGAATGCTGGGTTTGTTGTTGTAATTATGTCGTAAATCAAACTCGCTTTCAATTCCGCTCGATGTGGCTAACGTTTATACTGTTATATCCTCGAGTCTTGCTCATAATAAATTAATAGTCAAGTATGGGTAACATTGATGTGAAGCATGCGTTTTTGTTTCTTTTTTATTGTTTGATTATATGTTTTTATAATACAACCCTTTTCTTTTATAAACTCTTCTTACTCCTAAACGGTTCTTATAAAGTTAAAGTGTTAAGTCATTTCTTTCTTAACAAATATAAATTCTACTATACATATTTCTTGTAATCAATGCTACTTTTAACGACAAAATAACATTTTTTTCTTCAACTCAATCGTAAGACGAATTTCGTTTTTATTTTCCTCTCTCCGTAACCATCATGATTATTGTGTTGGATGATTTCACGTCGAAATGAAGTAATTCTAAATCGGTATACCATCGGCATTTTCCTTCCGGACTACTTTTTCAATGAATGCATTAAGCATACGACCATAAAAATAGCATCAATAACACCGTAATAATTGATACCATTTTACATTATTATTATTACAAAAACGTTTACCATAAAACTAGCACGAACGTCGCTAAAAATATCGCTCTTTATCCTTTATCTTACTCATTATAATGAGAATTATTTGATAGTAAATTTGAATAGTATACAGTCAGAAGCGTTACTACAATACGGAAACGACTGGCACCTTAGGCCACAGATTAAAATGGAGACGTTGTTTTTGCATGAATTCTTGATTGCAGTAAGAGAGGAAAGACGAAAGCTTGTGAATCACAATGCGCTTGAATATTGCAGTGGATAAAGCTGCCTAAGATGGGTGAAATGTGGATAGTCGGTAGCGTGCAGTCGACACGATATTAAAATAAAATGCCGGAGCGCTGCCACGGCGGCGGCTGATATTACTTTCCTATCGTCTACTTTACTATTATTCTCCATGCCTATACAAATTGACCTATTATTACCGCACACAAAGCTTGATTGTGGATAGTTCTGTTGTTCGGACATGTTATTAAAACTTTTTACTGTTAAAGCTTCTTTCTTAAGTAATATAATGAAAATATTATTTATTAACAATCTTTATTTACTCTTAAAATAATAATACTACAAATTAACGAGTATAGTTTGTCAATCTTACTTAATACTAATAAGTAGATGATGTACTTACAGTACTTTGTACCTGCAAAATCTTCCTGTAAAGAGGAATATCTAACGATTTCGACTTCTAAGTGTCGTTTCCACAAGATCTAAATAAGTCCACATTTCTTGCGTTGCTAAAGGAGTACTTGGCGGAATGTGAGCAGTTTACCCCCACATTTCGCCGCCAACCAAGATATGTCGCAGTGCCATCCAATTTGCCTCCTACCGCTTGCTGTTGTACGAATAAAACGGAAAATCTTGTTTTCACAGAGAAAGAATAAATTATATCGAAATCTAGTCTGAACAAGAAACAACGCCTCGGTGTATTTTTTAAGAAATACTATTTGTTTAATAATATTTGTTTAATAAATATTTTATACTTAAAAAATATTTTTCAGTTAGAATATTATATAGGTATTATATACTTGACTGATACTTGATTGACCTTTTTTTAAATCTGAAAATATGATTCAGTCCAGAACCGGTTAATTAGTTTTGTTACATAATTTTTGCACAGTCTTCAGACTTAAATAGTAAAAAGCCTAAACTTTTTCTTTTTATATTTCATTATAAAACATAATATAAATTATATAACTTTTGTACGTATTAAAAAAATGTTAATACTAATTTACAGAATAAAAAATAATTACTTAGATAATTTACAGAATAAAAAGTATTATTCAGTATTCTTCAAACTTCCAAAATCAAAAAACAATCATCGAAGCAATTGAGCCTTTGTATATTACGCATTGATTTATATAACAAGATCAGGAAAAAGTTAGCAAATAAAAACATTTAACAACAAATCTCATACAGACATCAATAGGTATAAGGCTGCTTCCGTATAAAATTGGTTGCGGTGAAGTGAACACGAGTTGATTGCTTTCGACAGAAGCGCATCCTTATTGTGTAGTCATAGAGTAGAAACAATATATAAAAGAAGTGGCATGATTTAATAGCATTCAGTTTCAAATTATCACTTATTAATAAAAATAAATGTTTGTGTGTTTTAAATATAAGTTAATGAGCTTAATGTTTATTTACACTACGCTAAAAAACATAGAAAAAGAATGGCTTAACCGGTATTACTTGGACCTGTAGAAGATTCCGAAAAGCTAATTTTAATGATACGCGAGTAGAGCCACGCAATACACCAAAAGCTATATATAAATATAATTTGGTTTTATATATGATCTTGATCTTTCAAAAAAAAAACTCGTCAGAATGATTAATGCTGATTAATATTAGTATTATTACTACAGTCTCATTAAATATTTTCATATTTTTTAAATATTTCCTGTTTCTATACTTTTCTGAGGTATTTTTATTCTAAGTTCTCTCTATGAGTTAAAAGCTGGCGAATCGCCATAGAAGCCAGCGACCGAAATGTTTTTATTCGTTGATATTGCAGTTTGCTTATGTCCCCCTTTGGTTTACTTTATTGGGAATATAAGAGCAGAAAGATAAGTAATGTATTGATGTTTTTAGTTTTGTTATATTGTTTACAAATTAAATATAAAATACTATATTTGATCATAATACACTAATCAAGTATATTTAATTAGCCAAAAGACTTTTTCTTCTCACTAAAGAATAAAACCTAATGATAATTTATATTCGAAACTAAAGGTCATTTTAAGTAGATATAAATATTCATAAATGTGATAAAAATAGACCACGAGCTTCTAGAAACGGAGTAAAAAGATAACAAATTCACATTATGCGCTAAATTATAATATGAACCAAACAGAATAATAAAACGTAGATGTATTTCAAACTAATTACAATGGCCGTATATGTAAGGTAAAGCCATGCAAGATAAATATGCGTACATTTTTTTTCGTTCATTTTTTATGCATAAAATGATTCATTACAATGATTTATACCTAATAGTATAAGACGTAAATTAGCTTATAAAATAAGTAGTAATAAAATAACCTAAAATCTTAAAATACACAGCAGTGTATATATATATATAACCAAATTAAATATAAAGTTATGGAGAGTTTTATGTGTACATTTGTGCATGCGTTTATGTAAGTATGTCTTCAAAAAACAAAGTAATAGCACTTTTGTATCGTCATATATGTATAGTACCATATCATAACAAATTTAAACTGCACTATTTAACCTGATATTAGTATGCATAGCATCCACAATGCAGTGGAAATGTTTATTCAATCACGTTCCCATTAGTTCGGCTTTACGCAGTGTAATATTAATCTCGGAGCGGTCTGTCGCGAAATTCCATTTAGCAGCGCCGCGGGCTAGCGTCGAGCGCTGTTCACGCCGACGTCGACGCCGACGCCAATGATTGATCCAATGCTCCCGGATTAAACAGTGATAACTTTAGAGCTGCAATCGGAAATTCCGTTCGTTTTGCACAAATTGGATGCTACAAACACTTCACTTCACTTTAAAAACCTTCACACTACATTAAACAATTTTATATACAAAAATATATCTACAATTTGAATCTTAAATATTTTTAATCTTATTTTAGTTAATATTATAATTACTTTAATTATATATTATTATTAATTCTTCTCTGTGATTAAGACGAAGACATATAATGATACTAATTATATATATTATTTTAGTTTAATATTGTGTAATAAAGTGTTTAAATAAAAAATAACATTTATAAGACCATGCTTTTCTATAGGGTTTTTAATATCATAAAAAAGTAAAAGTTAATTTGAGTATAATAAAACAATACCGAAACTTTATAAAAATTATATCTACATACATACATACATACATACATGACTTCAACATGAATCATAATTTTAATTAAGCTCAATAATTTGTTCTGTAATGAAGCCTACCATAATATCAACTCCAGTATCGTTGACAAGTTTCACCGGGGGAGTTACGTGCCGCGACATAAATAAATTATTCAACACGCCACTTAGCGACACAACACCTTGCCATCTCACTGCCGCCATGCACGTTGACATACCCTCCCGGCTCCCGCTCTTTACTTCATGACGACATATTTATCGCATCAATTATGCTACTTGTAGGAATTGCTTCCGTCCAAATCGGTTAACTTTATTGAGTAAAAATGCAGTAGAGTAAGAATGCCGGAACTCGGATCCACTTAATATTTAAAGCACGACGCCAACATTTAATCTATGTAACATGTATGTAATAAACTATAGACATTACATTCAAATGACTTTTAAGCAAGTTATTGCTAAAGCGTGATGTAAATGAAAATTACAATGAAACATGTTTTGCAAGCTAGAAAGTTAGTTAATATCGCCGACAGTGTAACCAGTTTATATTAATTTAAATAAAACGCGAATGAAGAGCGTATGTGCTCAGGTCATCCGATGTACCTACAATGGGAGAGTATTCATGAAAAATGTAATTGAATGATTTATCACGTTGGTCACGTTTCACCGCCATATGGAGTTCTCATGAATAAGTAATGTTTGGCAGCGGTCGTTGTTTCAATTAGCGGTCGTGTCGTCGGTCGGGCACGACCTCCTGCCAGTCGACGTTGCTGATCCAATCGAAATTGGCTTAAAAACTTGCTGTCTGCCACCCTTCGTAAGGGAATTCCTCCTCATTCGACGTTCAACAACAATCCCACTAATATTATAAATGTGAAAGTTTGTGAGGATGTATGGATGTCTGGGTGTACAGATGTTTGTTACTCTTTCACGCAATAATTACTGAATGGATTTTAATGAAACTACAATAATATAAGCTCATACATCAGAATAACACATAGGCTACTTTTTATCCCGTAGAAATGTACGATTTCCGTGGGATAGATTTTTCGTGAGTTTTTGAAATTGTTTATGTGAAGTTTTTTTCATGTAACAATTTTCCGTCGTGGGTTTTTTAAATTATTTATTTGTTTTACTTATTATAATTTTTTTATGTCTATTTTTTTAATAATGGATGTGAGTCGTTATCGCATATTATGCACAATATCAACATCTATACAAAGTATAAAACAAAGTCGCTTTCTGCGTCTGTCTATTTCTCCGCTCAATTCTTCCAAGCCACACAACAGATCTAGATCGGTACTAATAGGAAGAGCGATAAACGAGAAAGGTTTGTGTACATAATTTGTAAATCTTTTGTACAAAATGACTGAGCCTAGACGGTAGTTTGTCAAAAAAACTTTTCGTACGATAGATGAACCTTTAGAAATACATCAAAATAATATACCTACTAGAAAATAGTAATAAGAAAAGTCCGTGATAACATGTGTCCATATCTTAAGGTACGGTCACAATAACGATTTATATACGCATATAACGTATGTAGGTAGGAACGCACATAGAATAAAATAACAAGAGTTTTTAAATGAATTTTAAATATTGCATTGCAACTATATACAATACTGAATGCAACAAAATTTCAGCTTAAATCTGTTATAACTGTTAGTGTTTTATTCTTTATAGCGCTAGAACAGAGGGTCGCGTGAGGGGCCATTATAATTAGAGCGCACTGTAATAAGCGAAAGTAATTATGCGGTTAACATCCAACGCTATAATCCGCACAACACGATCTATCCCGGATTAGTAGAATCTTACCCTACGTTACACGCGTTAATACATTGATATGAGTGACTTTGGTTCACTCGTTTATTCGTGTAAAGGGTCGTTAAGCAATCCCTTTGTTAAAAGGGAGACAATCACTTACGCGTGTCTGTCTCATTGTTACTTTTTTTAGATCGACAGATGCGCCTTTTTTATAATATAGGTATACAAATAATTGTAAAATATATATTGTTTATAATTATTATAAAAGAAATGCGTAGGTGTTGTGTATTGAAGAATAAAGACGATACTACTTCATAAGAATTAGTATCGTCTTTATTCGTCAATACACATAAATTATAAAATTTAAAGATAACAAACAGGCATTTCATTCTCTTTTAATCATTAGTAAAAATAACTGATCATAACAATACGTATTTTCAGCATTATTCATTGAAATAAAAATGACTGAAAAAGGAGAGCAAAATCAAATTGCGAACTAACTTATCTTAAGTAATAAAAACATGGAAGTTCACTGAGCGAGGGCGGTCGGAGAGTTATCCATTTATAGAGAGTTAGTCGTTTTATTTTCTTTTATCCGTCCCGTCAAGCGCTCATCGTTGGGCAGATTTGCTTCCCCCGACTTCTTCGTACCCTCCCGTGAAATAAATGCGAAATGTGATAAATGAGATGCTCTTTTTATTATTAAGACCCGGTTGTATTGCGTTATGAGACTTTTTGTTGACTTGCGTGCAACTTATCGATATGTGGATGATACGCTCATTTTAATAAACAATGTCAAAAGCTTTTACATCTTCTCAATCTAACAATGGTGATTTGTGTCTGAGTTATTTTCCTTTTATTAGTTCGTCATAGTAACCATTTTGCCAGAGTTTTAGATAAGCAGCGTTGTCAGTACAGATGAAAAATAGACATAATTTTATACTCTCTCTGCAGGGTATAACGCTGCTTCAAGACGCTGGCACGTCGGATGATAGTGGAAGGGCATCAGAACGACTAACGGGCAGTTCGGTGGCACCCCGCGATCCCGATTCCTCTCGCGACCGCCTTAGTGACGTACGTATACTGCTTAAAAACTTCAATTATAACTTTGCAATTCTCAAACGATTCGATTGTACATTTCGGAAGCTTTATTCGTGTCATAATTTGCATATTTTAAAAATAATTATCATTTATATTTTAGGCTTTGTTTTTTTTCATGCACGTTGAAATGTCAATGTTGTGACGGTATATTTTGATTTGTGCATTTAAATGTTGTTGTGTTCTGTTGCCAAATCTATATCTTCACTTAAACCTAAATGTGACCTTTTTTAAAAATGATAAAATGAAAATGAGACAATTTGTTTCAAACAAAATGATAACCAAAATTTATACTGTATTCGTCTCAACATTTAGTCTAATCGACTAAAAAGGGAGATATCGAGACAGGTAAATTCCTAGACGTTTCTGTCTATTGACATCTTCGCTTTCTTTGCCCTGCAGGCCAGTAGCCGCTGTAGTTCCGGAAAAGGCTATATCGTGAGTATATCTAACGTCCATATCTAATGCCTGAATTCTTTTCTTATTTTTCTACGCTTATTGGCTTATTATCCTCACGTAGCGCTATGAGAATGTCTGTCTGCATTTAAATCTACTTTAAAAAAGTGATTTAATATAGTTGTTGACAATAGTAGTTTATCACGCCTGATATATGTATGTCTGTATGAATGTTAAAATAAGTAATCCTCTTATAATTAATCTGTTTCGATACTTTTACACCATAGATATTCAATAGTAAAACAATAGGAAAGATTTTGAACAGCATTAGAGGATTCATTCTAGGGTGAAAGCTATAACTTTCGGTGAATGTGCAAATTTACGCCGATCACGCATCACATATACCGTGTTCAGTACTCGATATTCGGAGCGTATCGCAAATAAATCACGAGATTTGTCGAGACTCTGCTGTCTACTCGTAACTTTACCTGCATCTTGAATACTTCATTCTTTGTAGTTATTTATTTGAAAATGTAATATCTACGGCTGATCCCATGCCGTTCCAATAGCGTGAACTTAAATATTGTAAGATTTATCGGACAATTATGTCTATTTGGAAATTTTATTGAATGCTACTTGTTTTGTATTATGTATAACCTTCATTTATTTAAAAAAAATGCTATTAGTATAATATTAATATTCATATTTATCAGTTAAATGCTAATAATAGTCATAGTTATGAATGTAAATTGATTTATAACAATATTATATCGCAACATTAATATTCTCACGCCAATGGTAATTAGGATAGCTTATTCTATAATAACGTAGTACTAGGTGTAGCGGAATATGCAAATGAGTAGACATCGATTATAATACAGAGGTAGGCGTATTTAATCTCGCCTTGTGTGACGAATAATTAACGTTAATATATTAGTCAAGAGTGTACTATTAATCGCTGCTTAAATTAACACAAGCATGTTTTGCTTAAAAATATCTATTAGATACATAATGCATGCTTTTTCATAAATTTTGATTTCGATAGCGGACAATAATGTTATGTTTTTCTTTTGCAGTGTGATAGTGAAGGCGACGATGACAAGGCAAGTAAATTTTTAAATACTGCTTTTATTAATCAGGTACTAAATGTATCGTATATAACATGTTGGTACGAATAAATTAATTAAACCTATCTCAGTTCCCAAAGCGGGAAAAGTTAAAACAACGTCGGGAATAAATGTCTGTGTAATGTAAGTGGCGAAGTTGTTCGTTTATTACGCGGGCGAACTCAACTCGTACGGTGATTAATCTCACGGGTAGAAACGCCTCGGGCCGCTTACAAATTGTTTAGCTGCTATCTATTCCTCTAATTAGATTTTTGTCACAATCTATTTATGTATTTCAAAATATTTTATTATGTAAAATTGTTTTTAAATGTTTAAATATTATTTTTTGTACTTATCTCACAATGAATTTATAGAACTTAACTACTTAAGTAATTTTGCTCAATACAATCGTTTATAAAATGACTCAGTATAATAATATTTTACAAATAAACATACATGGATAGTCGGACTGTGTTGGACGATAAACGTGTAGTTGAAGAGTAATAGATTCGCTTTGTGCGGATTCAACACACTGTAGGAGCTTAACTAACTCGTCAACAGGTTGTGAAATGCGAGTCAAAAGCTAGAGTTGAACATAGAACGCTTTACGGCGTTTAGCAAAGGGCGCTGATTACGCGCCGTCGCTCTGTTTCGTAATTACAAGATTGGCGCAGTAGCGAAGTGCCCGTAATTAAGTACGTTATATTACGCCTTTTGCCTCGTCTCTAATATACGACTCACAGTTCTTATTTAAATGTTATTTACCGACGTTAAACGATACACGACCCTGTTAAAGCTATGTATGTGTAATCTAATACATTGAGTTACATTTTTTTAAATCTATTTTAATAATCATAAAGACATTTGGTCGCCGCATCATTTTAAATCCCAAGAGCTTAAGATTGATATCATTGTTTAAATGTACGCGCGACTGTTTAATACCGAACGCTTCACTGCTAAGCTCATGATTCGAAATAAAACATTAGTTAATCTTTTAAATATACACTTTTAAACAATGCTTGAAACATTTCAAATAATATTGTAATATTTTATGTATGTTTATTTAATATTTATATAACCATAGTTACATCGTACTTAATTCATAAGCTTGCCGTGTTTTGTACAAAATTATTATTTTACGTTAACACAGAAACTTTAATTTATACAAAAGCAAGTAACAACTACATATTAGTTACTGCTTCCATCCGACTTTCGAAAGCTTTATTCTGATAGTATTGTTCCCAAGCGCCAGTAATTTGAACTCAAACGTTTTCCTCTTAATCTAATTGCAGCTGACCGCCTCGCTGCCCAAAATTCAACCTTACAATATAATATAGGTACCTGGCAGTCGACTTAAAGGAAATAGTTTTTATTATCCTTATCAGTTGGATCAGCACAGATAGTGCTTGCAAAATAAAACTGTCTAACTTCCAAAGTTAGATATACTCGTATATTTACTAAATCAGTAATTTTTGTTTGTCTGTTTGTACCCGCTATCTTCGGAACTAGTGGGTAGATATTCACTTCACATTTGCTTGAACTATTTTTGTATCACGCAAGAGGAGCTACGGAAAAAGCTAATTATAAATATTATGATAATTTATCGGTTATTTAACATGTATAAGATAAGTAGAAGTCGATTAAAAGTAATTCCTACGATAAGATTGATATTATTGACCAAAAGAAATATAATTTTAAAAATAGAATACTGATTTGAATTACATTTAGTAAATAAACAAAACAATTGTTTTGTTTAATAAATGTTTAATAAATCGGTATAAGATGTTATACTCGTACAAACTATCCAGTCCATTATTGAATAAAAAAGAACATTCAAACAGAATGTCAAGCTTAATAAAGATACTAAGGTAGTATATGACTTAATAGAATTGAAAGTTGAGTGGCACAATAATGCCGGTAAATGGATATCTGAGGAGGAAATCAGTCTCGGCGTCACTGTTGTCGTGTCGATTAATTAAATTATCTCAAGAGCTTGGCTCTTGCGGGAGGAGCGCTCCGAGCTTTGGGCAACATAAATTACGTTGATTCTCATAAACATAATAAATATTAAATTTTACGCCCTTATAAGTAACAATAAACATTAATAGGATAATTATAAACATCGCAAAACAAACAATGAAAGTCTAGCCTTGTAAAACAACTGTGAGATGTAATGATACATAACAGGAAGAGGCTGCTGTTTGTATTTATTATTTTCTTAGTCTTACTAACTCTCTCTAGTAATTTATTAACTCACTAAAAAATATAAATTTTTGTTATAAAAACGCATATTTTTCGTAAATTCGTTCACTTTAAAAAATAACTGAATACTATCCAAACCCTCATAACTAAACCGTTCCTTTTATCGACTAATCTTATTTTCAAGTGCTCCACTATCGTGCTCGGTTTATGCGATGAGTCCCAAGCGAGAGGTAGCATTTATAGTGCTGGCTACACTTAGCTGGAGTGCGCCACTAACTCGATCCGATTCAACTTGGGCTATTTACACTCGGGGTTCAATTATGCTTCCACTTTGATATGCAAATCCGTTCGCGTTTGGGTAATTACGTAGACGCTTCCCAGGTTCCGTTGCAAACGTCAGTTTGAGCTTTACATTAATTTATTTGACTTGCCAGAACCACGCTTCTGCTGGGTCATACGATTTGCGCTTTGTGCAGTTTCTCTGTTGGAATTTGCGTTTATTATGATGTTAACAAGATGTGTGAGTTGCAAATGGTCAAACGTTCATTTTGTTCTTGACAAGTTGTTTTCATATACTACATGTACAGTAATATTAACAGCTATATATCAGACTATCAACTTATGTACATGAGACTAGCAAATCACCCTCGTTCGCTTCGGGTTCGTCCATGGACAAAAACAAATCTATGTCACGGGAACCGTAAAATTTTCCGGCATTAAAAGCCTATTCCAGTCTATAAATCTATCTCTGTGCCAAATTTCATCCAGATTCGTTCAGTCGTTCTGGCGTGATTGAGTACCTACCTAACAAATATCTATCCAAACTTTCGCATTTATAATATTAATAAGATTAGTATGGATATGGATAAATTAAGAGAAATAAGTATAGTATAATATGAAACTTATAATTTGTTATTCGATGTTATATTATTCAAATTTCTGAATCTTTTAGTATCTGTCTGCGTTATAAATTGCTAAAACAAAATTCTGGAGTGGCTTAAGTTATTAGCTTGGCTGAAATTGATGTCGGCGAGTAATAATGCAACGCTTGTCTAACCTCGACTTACTGAAATTATATGTATGTAGCTTATAGACAATCCATTGATGTTAAATATTCATTTGGTTTTCATCTTTTATCTAATACTAGCAGAACCCGCGGCTTCGCCCGCGTTTAATCTACAAAAAGAAACTCTTTGGCTTTATAATATACCAGCATTGCCCGCGGCTCCGCCCGCGTTCAGATGGCCAAAAACAAATTCTTAGGTTTTACATATTAGTATACTCTTACATTGCAGTTTTTGTATTTTTCTTAGAAATGAGACATTTTCCCGCGGTAAAAAGTTCCTATATGTTGACCCGGATAACCAGCTACCACCATACCATATTTCATCAAAATCTTTCCAGTGGTTTTTCTGTGATGCGGTAACAGACAGACAGACATTTCTGTAAATAAGATCTCCCTCAAAGTTGAACTATTAATTACATTTATAGTATTACTATATAGGTCACTTCCCAATATAGCCTAAGTAATGTTAACAACATATCACAGAAACCAGGAAGCTCTCTACATTGTTAACTTAGTATTGAATTAGCAGAAACCGGCGAAGTAACAAGGAAGCGCCTACGCTCATTTAAACCCTATATTTTAAGACAATACAAGTAGCTGTTGTAGTCAATTGAATATTCAAACTCTATATTACTTTAACGAAGGGAGCAAATTACAGATTAATTTTAAATTTAAGGTAAAATTAACATTTACTAGTTTTTCCACGTGGTTCACGCGGGTCTGGTACGTCGTTGTAAAGTGATAAAAATTTTTAAGGGCGCAAGGGGTAGCAAGAGCATTATCCTACATTTCATATTTCATACACATATTTGCATACTTTTACATACCTATCGATTATTAGTGATATTAGTGTTTTGCAATTTTATTAATATTTGCCTATAATAAAAGGTAAATTTATTGTTTTCCGAAATAGGTACTTCTATCGTATATCACACACGTCACTTCTAGTCGTTTAGCTGGGGTGGTTCGAGGTGAGCACAATCTGCGCATAAGGCCGAGCAGGGAAGCATTAATAAGAACATGAATACCGATAGACTGGTGGCGTCTATCAATTTTCCTTTCATATGCTACGTGTTATCGCTTTAATATATTCAGATCACTTGCGAAATGCCGTTGTTATGAGCCGCACTTTATATGTATTGCAAAATGATGCCTCCGCTTTCATAAATAAAAGCTTATATTGAAATGAAATTTCTGATAATACGCGTAATTTCTTCGAATAATTCTATAGTATAACGGTATTTATTCAGAGAATCCAAAGGTTTCACTTAAAATATATTCGCAAATTTCAAGTGAAATCGAAAGAAGTATTTCCCAACTATGTAGCAGCAGGCGCCTCTTGGCAGGATTTACCTTACGCAAACCTGCCTCGGTTAATTGAAAGAGCTTCTTTCATTTAGTGTAATATTTTATGGCTCGGAGTCTGGCGCGGTGCGGTGGGAACTTGCGGTTTCACTTCCACTCATACCAATCTTTCTATAGCGCCCTCTCGCCCAACTGCCGCTTAACATTCTTTGTAATACGCCGAGTAATAAGAAAATAATTGAATCATTTCTGTAATATCAGAATTTAAATTTATTTGGAACATTATCTTAATTGCTTCTTTTGTTTCATTTTTCTTAAATTTACTTTTTATTTTATTTCTTTTATACATCTTACATTTTTGTACACAAATATACAAATAAAAATAAAGTTTGTTGTTGGTTAAAAAGGCTTCATTTACATAACTAAACCAAACAAATTAATATTACATGAATTCTCATTGAAATTTATAATAGCCTAGTAAATATTAATATGTAATAAGCAATTAAGCACGGGGGTGTATTATAATTAGCGGTTAAATCAGAGGGTTGATTCTGCGGTTCACCAACGCAAGCCGCAATAAATCGTCCACACACGTGACCATGCTGTCGCTGCGACACACGAGATAAGGGTCATCGCGTTAATGTGTAATATGACTAGATTGTAGCAGCATATCTAATGATGGAAATGTCACCTTCACAATGCCCGTACACTGCTCGACTTGACATGAAATAATATGTCGTACTCTAAGCATTGTATTAAGTATGTATAAAATAAAATGCTACTAAAATACGTTAATAAATTATAGTAAACTATGTATATAACTACGAGATTAACATAATGTTTCTGAAATGTTCCACTTTTGTCTTGTAAACGAGCATAAAGTGAAAGAACAAATTGCGAGTTTCCCCAGTATTTTCCTCGCTCGGAAAAATATATGTTTTATTAAAGCTCGGCATTTCCGAGAGCGAGGCAACCCTCCGGGCGGTTACTGAAGGGTGGCGGGTGTGGGCTCGGCGGTGAGTGGGGGCGGCGGCGCGCCAGTGTATAACAGACACTGGAAGGATATAAAACATATTTACGCGCCTATAAAGTACTCTCGTACATTCGCTCTCCACCATTTTCTTTGTTCCTCGCTCGTAGCCAATGATAATGCTTTCTTCTGCCGTTCTATTAAACTTATTTTGCTTCCGTGTTATCTTGCTTTTCTTTGGCGCTTTTATTTATAGCCAAAATGACGTGATAATAATTCTATAAGTGCACAATACTTTCACATTCTGTAACAAACCCATTATGCTCATTATATGTATAGCTGATTTCTAATTTACACATACTTAATTTACTCGTATTTATTTAAAGTACCTAGGCGACCGAGCTTCGCTCTAGGATCTTTTTTTGTTATATCGTATTTTTTAGATAAAAAAAAACAAGAATTTGAATAAATACCAAAAAAAACAAAAGTAAAAACTTTATATTCGATCAGGATTCGAACTCGGACACCTGTGATTGTCAATCTTGCGCCTCGGCCGCTTGACCATGATGCTTGTGCCCGAGGGTGCGAAATTAGTAATCATATTTTGCGTGGAATAATGCGGATGAAAACCGCATGAAAACTCGAAAACACGCGTTTTCCCAGACATAAGACTAATCTATATCGAGATTCGAGTTTTCGCCCCCGGAAACCACCCACATACCAAATTTCAGCGAAATCGTTAGAGCCGTTTCCGAGATCGCCGGTATATATAAATAAATAAATTAATGTACAAAAATTGCTCATTTAAAGGTATTAGATTAGATAACTGTGTACATTTTTTTACTACTTTTTTTATATTACGAACAGTATAAATAATTGATCATGCGTACAATAAAATTAGCGAAAGCAATATAAGTCCTTAAAGCTGTTCAGAGTGTAGAAGCTAAAGTGTTAACAGAAAAGCGAGGAGCGTCTTAATCTTGTACGACAGTACGGCTCTGAGAAGAAACCCCTTGCGTAGGTGAGAGGGTGTAATAACAAGTCTTTCCACCCTCTCTCACTCCTTTATCGTCCACAAGCTTAACCGCTTTCGAACTCCGAAGATCCGTATTATATCGTCGTGTTAAACAGATCGATTCAGATAACTTGGTTTTAGAGTTGATATTTTTTACAATTTATTTTCTGGGTTTGAGTATTTTTATTAGCTGAAATTTTCACATGTAACAAAGGTACTATTGTTACACAAATTATTTATTTATTTAACATGCATAATATATAATGTTTAATATTCATTTTGCAAGACGAATAATTATTAGTTTATATTATAGACTAGCGGCTAGCTCTAGACAAACAAAAACAAATCTATCCCACGGGAACCGTACATTTTTACGGGATAAAAAGAAGCCTATTTGTTATCCTAATCTATGAACTGTATTATTGTAAAGTTTCATTAAAATCCAATCAGTAGTTTTTGTGTACTAAGCTGTATAAGTTACTATAGTTTTTTAACTATCCCACGGGAACTCCTTTCCGGGATGAAAAGTCATCAAAAGTCACCTAAAAATTTGACCTGGGATATAAGGTACCACCATGCAAAATTTCATTTAAATCGGTTTAACTGTTTCGGTGATTAGCCTGTACAAATAGACAAACAGACAGAAACAAAAAAACTGAAAAAATCTCGATTTGTTCTATTTTTTTTTACATCCCTCTGACTCGGCTTTTAGCAAAAAAAAAACTATGCACAGACAATCGACCTCTACAGTTTTATTATATGTATAGACTAGCGACTCACTCTCGCTTCGCTCGGGGTTCGTTCCTTGGTACGTTTTAATTTTTTGAGCGGAATCCTACATCTTTTTCTAAAATAAAAGTAGCCTATGTTACTCCCTATAACATCAGCTATCTTCCAGTGAAAGTCCCTTCAAAATCAGTCCAGCTGTTTCAAAGATTATCCGGAACAAACAGACAGACAGAAAGACAAAAAATTAACTAAAAATTTATTAACTAGTATATATACCTACAGTTCGTAGATACCTACATAAAACGGACTTTTGTAAAGGGCAGTGATTACCTGCAGGCGAGCGAGCGAGTGTTAGCATTCGGCGTTGAGGTTGAGATATCTCTCAACGGATCAGCAGCTCACTCGGGATGCACTCTGTGATTCCGTTTGTCACGGCACCCGGTTGCGGTGTGAGCTCTCGCTCTGATAAACGCGTGTCAACGTGCTTTGACTACCTACGTCACTATCTAACCGCCACACTGGCTATCTGCAGGCCCGGATTACGCATATTATAATGTCAACATGATTTTGTGCTTATAAATATTGAAGTATTTGTATGTGATTTCAAAATAACTCTCCTGTTATACTATATATCACATATTATGTTTATTTTGACTATGCCAACGCTATTTTGTAAAATGTCAGCCCATATGCAAATGTTTCACCTAACGACAAAGTCACAAACTTTGCTTAATTTAACTTTATCAACTTAGTATCCATATGTAGATAATAATTAACTAAAGATAATAATTAAAGATGCCCTGTAAAATATTTTTTTATATCTCATTGAAACAGATAGTTCATTTTTAAAGTATCATTTAAGTTCCAAAAGAATTCCTTTTTTGTACTAAACTTTTACTAAAGATTGTGATAAGGGAAATTTTATATATTTAGTCTGAAGCGAAATTATTATAAAGTAATCTAAGTTAGACGATCCGGAGAGAGATAAGGTGGTTGACAGGTGTTTAAATATATGTTGAGTCGTTTCCCCCACCCCATAGAGATTCCCGCTCTATTACACGAGACGGATTCGTTTGAGCCGGCGGTTTCAGGATTAATTGCTCGATTTTACTAAGAATGATTCAAAACTCCTCTCGATGCTAAGCTTAATGAAGTAGTAACAAATAATAACTTATTTCTTTGGTATATTTTGTAAGAATTTAATTCAGATTTTGCTTTCGTTACATAAAAAATGAACTATTAATATCACATACTAATAGAAAAATTTATTTCTTGATTTGTGCTTTCTTACACAGTAACGGAGATAGAATTAAGGGTTCTTGTATTCTAAGATTGTATATCGGCCTAAGAGCATATATGTACGTATAATATAATATATTACTATATTACATGTAATACATATATTCTTTGTTGTAGTAGCACAAAGAAAACGTTCTTATTTTACCCAAACATATATTATTTACATATATTTTGCAGTAGAATATTTGTTGCTAAAATAAATTGGAACAAATTACAAATAATAGCGAAAATACTCTTCTAACTAAAACTCATCTGTTGACACCTGCGTCAGAGCGAATAAATTGGCCACCTTCGCTTGTTGTTGCTCAAGCTCGTCGCTCGTCACTTCTCTTCTATCATAAACACGCAATTTGTCCGTCTATGTCTCACCGTCCCAAACTTTGCTTGAAACTTTGAAGTAAGACAATATTATATTATCATGTAGAACACATACTACATGTGCTACTACACGTGTAGAACATATACTACATATAGTTTATGCACAAATAATTTATTTGTGCATAAATTTTATGTATGATACTTTCTTTAACAAATTCTATCATAATCGTGTATCCAAATATTTTTTTGTTGTTAACATGTCATTGTTTTATTATATTCTTCACAAATATTATGATAATTAATAATGTTCGCCTACATTGATCGGACGGATTGTATTAGATGCGGAACACGTAAAAGAGATTAAAATAAAACTTTATTAGATATGAAGCGAGCGGAACCGGTCTTACGGTGGCGCAGGCTCGTGTAATATCAGCAATGTACATTCTCTCAGAGCTCATTAAAGCGGTTTTTGTCCTCGTCTCATATTTATCTTATTAACCGGATGGAACCCGTCACTACAAAATATCAAGCAATTTATTGAAATACTTCTGGGGATCGAATGCAGTAGCGTATTATTTTCACTTAAATCTATTATACGATCGATTAAGTAAATACTTTAATAATTGGCTTATTAGATGTTTGTCTAATCTATCTTATAAATTAATAAATATTGTGAAATAATTGACTCCATATGCATTTATATATTCCCGTATATTGCTATTGTTCAGTTATTGTTCACATCTGTATATACATAAGTAAAATATGTCATTCAATACACATGTAACATTTACTTATCGACGAAGAACAATTTTCATGTTAATCAAATAGAACTGCTTTGTTATGTCATAAATTACGAGTGTATATTGCACGAGGAGTGAGATCATTATTTTATATGTATCTTAAAGCAGTGTTCTCGGTACTTTAGCGTACGTTGTCGGATTATTCCCCTCTTTACGCTGTCGAGCTAGATGCGTCGACCACTTTGTTGTTTTATACTTTGTCTCGAAGCGACTTTATGCATCGCCTCATTGCTCTTCGCCGTTTCGCTTAGTTCTCCCTCTTTATTTTCAGCTCACGTTACTATGTAAATTTATTTTAAAACTAGAGACTCAACAGCGGGTGTTCTCCCTTAGGCGATTTGTTAACTAAAATATTGTGCATTTAAACTTAAGTATTTTTACGTGATTGATTTTACAATTTACATATCTATTTTTGTAATTAAACAAGTTATAAGTAACATCTTACTTAAGTAATTACGTTACTTGCTGGTTTTGTACTAGGTATCTTACACCTAACGCCATACGATATTACTTAATGCTAGGTATATATTTAATATCATACCGTATCGTATTTTACTTATATAAAACAGGGATATTCAATTTACTATTTAACTTTGACAAGAGCAAAAAAACAAACAGTTTCCAAAAAGTTATTTTTTAATACAACGGAAACAAACAAAATGAGATAGTACAGCTATTGCACCGCTTTTCTCTATATTTCACAGATACAAACTCGAAAATTCGCTTAATACCTTTGTTCTACAGCGCTCTACAGCTCTCACGTTGCACAAAATGTTCAACTTAAGTACTTCACATCCAGATATTTTCTAGATTTTCTACTCGATTTCAACCTTTTCGAAGATCTTTTATTTAAGAATTAAATAAAAGATTGCATCAACTGATTATGGAGATTATAAATCAAGTACAAAAACCTTAAAGTAATTACAAAATAATCAGCATGTTTTTAGAATTTATTTCAATGGGTACTTAATACAACTAGTAACTAATTTACAATGCTACCTAATATTTTAAATCCAGTAGAGATGTACGCTACATCTTGCTTCTCAACATATTATCTTACAATACTTGATGCGATGTTGATGCTTTTGTAAATGTGGTATTTCTACTATACGATAAAATATTTAGTGAAACTGATTTCAGAAATCACATCCAGTGTTAAAGAGTGGCCTGATTACTCTCATCGTGAAATTGTGTTTAGCGAGTTTATTCATTACTCGGCACCGCGAACTCTTTAGGGGTGGCGTGGGGACGGGTGACCCCCTTCCACCGCTCTGCTCAGTTTATGGATATAACCTCGACAAAATACCCCTAAAATTGAACTGTTTTTATTACGTACTCTCTTTATCTCTTTTGGTTTGTTGTGCCCTTTATACGGCGTTATAATTTTATTAGCGAGTCTAAAGCACATTAAATAATGATTTATGTTATATTTGAACGGTTCGTAGAGTAGATTTTCGTTAGAACTTTTACGTTAAAGGAATATAATTATATTTCTTTTATTATGCGAACTTCACTATATAAGTAGGTACAGCATTTATAATATCGTTCTACTAAAACGTCTAGATTGTTAAACAGAATAATTTGCTATATAAGGTTAACTGTTACATTGTTGATAATGCAACTCAAATGTGCAGCAAGAAAATACATTATTCATAATCGTTATAGTATTTTTCTTCTACTAAACGATTCCAATACACGCCATGTACCTATTCTTTTGATTTTTCTTCTTCATTAAATGTAAACAATGCTTCTATGTCAAATAGTTTACTTGAGCTGTAAAACAAAGCGGCTGGCAAGCGACCAAGTCGCGCAGTGCGACAGTCGACACGAGTGGATGAGCGCACGATTTGCAATGGCAACGAACGCCGAACACTGGTTACAAAGACAAACGTCACATAGATATGCCGCCTCGCCTCTTTACCTCTCATCGCCGTGCTTAGAGTAGATTTGTACGAATTCATTTTAAATGGAGCTGCCAGATCGCAATTACTCTCCCTTTGAGCATACGGAATGTGTTCTATATGACATTCAATTCAATTTCGCGCACAAAGCGCCCGTCGAAATTCTCTTTCTCTTTGACCAGACCCTCTTATGCAATGGCGCTTTGTTAACGAAACAGCTTGAACTTAACACACTGAATGTTTGCTAAATCTACAGAAATACACAACTTTCGGTGTATAATTTAAGTTATGCGATTTAGAGCAAGTTATTTATAGTTTGTTGGTGCAAATTATAAGATGCGATGTTTTACGCCAATTGTCGTTGTCAATTACGCTTTGACTTCTATCTGCATTCTTGATAATTAAAAATGCCACTGATTTATTATTATCTTGTAAGATTATCGAAATCGTTTGTTCTTAATGACGAATCAAACGCACCATGACAACTGAGTTGGCAATACACTGCGATAATAAATTCGAACATCTGGCTGTAGTTACATATTTACGTAAACGTACGTATATTTACGTAGAAAATTATGACACAAATAATATTTTGTATAATATAACATTGTGTTTTTAATTACTGATAAAGCGTAATTAATACCTAAAAATATTCATATTATATTCTTCTACCTACAAGTAACCTTATCTGATTAAAATTTATTTTTTTATGTAAATTTGTATATTAAGCTTGCAAATTTTATGTATGTTTTTTAATTGTGTTGTTGTTTTGTGTATAAAACGCTGTTAAAAAAAGTCCTATACTGGTTATTTGATGATATTTTGCAATTGCGTATTCTTAGGTGTTGTGAATTTAGCATGCACGAGCTCACTCTAGTTAATTAATTTACGGTAAGCGAAGTAAGGCTCGATTAGCGGAATAAATTGGGCTTGCGGCGGCAGTAATCCCGATCCAGTACAACGTTGGCAACAAAAGCAATGGGATTGCCCTTTTCACAAGCTTAATGCTATACCTTATTATTTATTCATATTAGTAAAGAGATTGTCTGTGATCTCCCTTTTTACGGTGTTTATATCACTTGTTATTGAAAGTCATCATATTTACACTTGCTTTCTCTTATTAGGAGTATCCTCCTCCTTTACATTTTTATGACCCGTAAAAAAGCAATAAAATTATGAGACAATACATAAATATTTTTCTTTTCTAAGTATTTGAAATAAAATCTTATATGTATTATTCTTCTAAGTAGTATAAAGAACTATTGAATTTCACAAGTAAAATAAATCTTAATATTCTTCAATTGATACAAATACACTGACATAATAGAACTCTTGAGAATTTTTAAATTAAAAGGTATGAGCGGTGAGCTCTTGCAAACGGTTAGATAATGTTGGATACTTGACGCAGTCGTTGAAAATTTTATGTCACCTCGCGCTGCATCGTAGACTGCATCTCCCCGCTTCCACCGTTCTACTATAAATTTGACTTAATGTTATAAGACGGTTATTTGCTTAACCAAGTCTTTAAAGTATAATATTGATGTCTTGCTAAGTTTACACTTATTAAACTACTAAAAATACTACATATATTTAAAATTGTACAATTGAATACTAGACGGTGAAAACTCTGAGCTTCGTAGAAATCCAAAGGGATGAATCGCTTTGTGTTGTTGACGCTCCCCGTATTTCCGTCCCTCCGTGGTTTCTTTGTCACAAATCCTGATTGCAACTTCTCAGTACAGTACGCTTAGCGCAAGCACTGCGCGCTTCACAAAGGTTTTGAAATTTAAAATTTAAAACCACCTCCGTTTCGTCTTATATACATTCAGTGAAATATACTGATTATTTTTTTTGTGGTTTTTTGTTTTAGCATATCTTTGATATTTTATTTCTTGCATTCTTTCTTATATGATAATTTTAACCTGCCTGATAAGTATACCATAGCCAGGACATATAATTTTATATAATATAGAAAATTGTACCTAAAAGCTCACTCAGTATGCACAATCACGAGTTAAACGTTCATTAATATGTCTTGTATACCTTCTCACTGTCGCCTGGGGAATGCCCTCATACATTTTTAAGCCACATTTTCCTCTTGCACGCTTTCTCTGGTGCTATTAAAGAATATACTTTAACAAATAAATTGAGTATTTATATAACGTGGATTTCAATCCACGATTAATTAAATGTTAAAAATGCAATCACGCACCCGTGAAATATGTCTGATACAAAAATAATTTAACAATACGCTCACCGCAAATTGAATGAGGTTCGAAATAAATTCTGCGGTCGTTATTTGACTCTCAATTTCCTCCCATTCGCATTGCACCCCTGTTTGCGTTGTTCACAGTTTTCATAACAAAATTATTCGACATAGGTAATATACAATAAATAATAAATAAATCTAAATAAAAACAAAATATTGAATGAAAGTGAAGTTGTAAGGCTTAGAATTGAATTTTATAGTTTTTTTGAAAACAAATTTAATCATATGGTTTTATGGTTTTTGTGTTATTTTATACTACTACTACTAACATAATAAATATAGAGAAGCTCGAAAATTTTATGGTCGTTGTAACGCTGATCGTTATCACCACGCGCTCCCACCCTTATTAGGAACCCCGGTGTCAAGGGTCGGCGCTGTAAACCAGTGCTCTAGTGTATTGTAAGTGTTAATTACTTTTGTCGCTCCGCAAGCTTGCGGTTAACAAATCATGTCGTTACGAAATTTCTCAATTTAGAACACTACAGTGCAATCAAATTGTTTGTAAAACAAATTGTTGTGCCACCGAGCGTCCTCAACGGCTAAGTCGATAAGCACCGTTTTTATTGCATCATTAACAGGCTACGAGGGAAGCGAAGCGATCCCAATCTGCGTAATCAATGCCGGAAGCAATCCAACTCGCGTTAAGTATGACTTAATTGGTGTTTATGTGTGAAAAAAAAATCATTCATTAGTGAACGAGTTCGGTATAAATAGTATAGTACTATATACATACATATGCATGATTTACTATAATCTCAGCTTTTCGATAACGATAAGTATATCATTGTTATCATATCAATGACTGCCAAGTAAGGCTATATATTACTAGGGATAGGCTACGACATACCATTTATTATTATGGCGGTCTGTAATTAATACTCGTATAATTCGAACAGCCGACAAATATACGAACCGTTTCTCGTTTACGATAATTGACTCACTGTATTTACTAATTATAATAAATCAATGTGTTTTAAATAATTTGCAATGATCAATATACTCGTAGCTTAGTGCAATTATAAATTATTTATTAGTGAGTTTTTGTTCTTATTATGTTATGTACTTGCACAAAAATAATTTTTATAACAATGTTGCCGCGCTTTATATAGTACGAATTTTTGAATGAAGACTAAGCGTCTAAATTCAAAACAGACAGACGAAATTCTGGAAATCATAAACATTTAATTTTATTTATACGTACATATAAAGGTATTATTATTTGGCAATTCATTTATACAATATAGTATTTATACAATATAGTATATATATTGTAGTCATAACAAATTCCTATAAATGATATATTCTTTTAAGACTTAAATAAGCTTATAGCCATTTGGAAATAATTCAATAACTTTACGCAGGAAGCGAAGATTCCCTTCAAATCAAACGTTTTCCCCTTAAGATAAGGGACGAGGAACGGCTTTTATTCTTTTTTGTCCTTTTCAATTTATTCTAAATTAATATTTTTTAAAGGGCTCATTTTATTGCGTTCGCATTTCATATCGAGAATAATTTATACTATTTCGTAAGTTTCTTTACAGCATACTTAACCTGAATAGATTTCAATCTCAAAGCTTTCATCTTTGCTCAGCCAGCTTTTTACCGAAAATTTTAACTGATTAGTTCAAATTAATCCACAAAAATATAACAATGGACTGTACATTGCATAACACAGTACGGGTAATATCTGCTTTATAAAAATCATTCATTCACTTACTGACATAATTGTACAATGTACATATTGTCCAAAGAAGGTGAGTACTAATTACTAATAGTAATGAATGATTTTCATAAATCTTCTGTTAAAGGAGGTAAATAGGAGGTATGAAAGTTTATATGGAATTTAGAAACAAGAAAATCTATATTTAAGCTTCTTAATAAATTGTTATAAAAATAGTTAGCATGAGGGAAATTCCATCAGCCTCACTGTTTGTTTAGCACCTATATATTATATTTCATTCGGACTTTAAATAATTATAAACTTCATTATTCGTTATATTATAATTCATTCGTTATTATATAAATAAATAAATAATAATTTTGTTTTTCTTATAAGCATTTGGAACCCTCGACAAAAAATAATATATGAGTTTGACTAACCCAGAAATTATTTCTGCAATGGTAATTTACATGAAGGCATGCGGTGGTTGGCTTTGGAATACCGTTTACATGTGTATTGTATCGCAAGAAATGCTCAACGGAGCATTTGTTGGGCGGGCGGCGCGTGCGCGAGGCGCGGGGTGCGGGCCGTAGGACGACGACCGTGCCGCACCGCGCCGCCTGCCGCGCGTTTCGCCTGACACCACACTCACGCTTCGGCCGTCTGGCCGATTTCATGTCTGTGTCGACTGTACAGACTCAACATTCGACGTCTTTGTCTCCGCTCGAATCACGATCTATTGTTATTTTTGTTCTCTGACAGATTTGCACCCAGCCCCAAAACAAGCGATCGCCATTCAATGGATTTCAGTGTTTTATGGATTGCAGTGAATTTCAACTGGATTGTGTTGTTGAATTTGTGATAATAGTTCTGTACATATATTTTTTTCGGCTGTGACTTGTTGAAATTCTTAAAATTATTAAAGTTTATGTGTTTCAAAATTAATTTGAACTTGTTTATACAAAAGTGATATTAAATGTGCTTCATGTGAAATATATCTTTATTCATAAAAATATATGCAGAAAAAGAGTGTGTTCTAAAAGTTTATAAAAGTTACCATAGTGAGGATTAAAGATTCACCTAAAAACAATGTTGAAGGAGGCAGCAAGAAAGAAGGCAAGAAAAAAAATAGTAAACAAAGAACAGAAAACAATGGGGCGGTGATAGGTCACAAAAACGAAAAATCTTCTGAAACTGTAAAGACGGAAAAAGAAAACTCGAAACGTTCGCCGGCTAAAGAAGCTGAGAATGAGGTATACACCGAGCAGATGAATAATTACATAAATTAGTTATAAGAAAAAGATTTTAAACATAAAAGTTGACAACTCATGCTTTATTCACATTTATATGAACTCAAGTGTTAAATAACGTGTACCGTACAATTTTGTTGACATGGAACTTTTTGAAATGTGTGATTTTAAAATGAAGTTATTCCACATAGATGCAAATTGGACAGTTTCCAATTCAAAGTATCTATAATAAATCAGTTGCCACTCCTTATTTATATCTATCTACGTTGCCTGCATACATATTTATTTTTATTTAAATAACAAATTCGTGACAAATAATAAAATATTTAGATCAAATCTTTTCATGTCACAAAAAAATACCTAACTTGCGACCCGCCCCGGTGTCGCCTATGTAGTGACACAGGTACAACACGTAAATTGCAGTTGTTTTTTTTTTCATTGTAAACGTTAAAAAATGAGCGACACTACTCGTACGCCACGCCACCTATCGTCGTTTATTGATGTTACTATGCCAGAAGACCCACACACAGGCATGCAGATAATTCACCAGGTTTATCACAATTGAATAAATGTTATAGGCATGCAGACTATTTATTAAATCACTAAAGTATCCCATACAAATCGTGGATCACCTATTATTCTTTTATGGTACCTATTATCAGGAAACCCCAACGGTCCTATACACCACAACCTACTAAAGTTTTATCGCAATCGGATGAGGCTTAAGAATGGTTTACATTACCCAGAAACTGACAAACAAGAATACATATGTATACAGATATAACGATAACTTTTTATATTATTAAAGAAATCTGGTATTAGGACAGAATTTATGATATTGAATTATGATATCATTATTTTTAATTGTAACATTTTTTGCTAGCAGTGTTTAGACTTGAGCCAAATTACTTGTGTAAATGTCATGTAGAATTATATAGAAGGTATAAAATAACACATTTCTTGTGACTGATATTATTTTTAAATAATAGTGCAGTCAATTAACAGTAATTATTAAAAATCGATTAATCATGAACTTAATATTGTTATCTTTTTTAAATCTCATTATGAATAAACCTACCTAGACACGACGCGACGATAATGAATAAAGTACATATCGTATGCAACTTATTACATATATGTATAAGCTTAAAAGATATCTCCTGATAAAATCAAATAAAAAACCCAATAAATAATATAAACATCAATTAGCAACTTATTCACATTGATATCTAATAGAATTGTTATTGGGCTTAGTCACGATAACCGAAACAAACGTGGTTTACTTTTAGCTGCCATGACGCTCGAATGCGGTCAAATGTTATAGCACTAGGAAAACTACCTACATAATTATACATTCTATTACCTAACGATTAAATTAAATTTATAGCTAGCTCGCAATAATAAATTATTTATTTATAATACACCAAAGATTATATTGAATTCATGCCTAAGCTTTGTACAATAAAATAATTATTTATTACGTATAACTCTTTATTTAATATGTACAGGCATCTATGAATCGCATTCGCAAAAAATCATTCGCCTTATTCTCTTTTAACTTTTCTTATAAAAACTACCTGGATTGTCAAAAACGCTTAAGATATAGAGTGCTTCCTACCTAGCTATCTTACTAAATTATAAGATGAAACTAAGTAAATATTACTTATTGTAAGACTTTGACAATTTACAATCAGGGTAATTGATATATATATATATATATATATATATATATATATATATATATATATATATATATATATATATTCATATATATTCATAGCACGGTCATGGTATGAGACGGTGTAGTGGGCAGTCTTCTTAATGAATGGAATATCCTCCTCATCCTCCTCAAGTCTCAACTGCATTAACTCAGTTTGCTGATTGAGTTTTTTGAGCTGATTGAGAGAGTTTAGTTAGCTGATCGACAATTTGAAGAGTTACAAATTAAATATTTTCAATTATATTTATCAATGATAATTATCAACCCATATTTATCATGATAATTTTCATGATAATTATCAATGATAATTATCACTGATAATTATCGTTTCGAACCCTGATATAGGTACATATTCTTTGATTTCGTGTCATCTCGAACGGAGCAGCATATAAAAACGAAATTAATTTCCTAATGAATAATCCTAATCAATGACAAGAATGTTGCTGAAGTTTCTATAAATTTCAACTATGAAAAACTAGTATAGTATTTGATGTCTTTGTTCAAAGTGTATTATTATAAAAAAGCTTAAATACTTATATTTATGTATTTAAGTAAACATTACTTCCTAAAAACATTAATTACTTTATTTTATATTAACAGTAGGCACATACTCGTAGTCGTACATACGTATTAGAAAACGGAAGGCCATTAGAAAGTCACCAATGGCTGTGATCGCTCGCTGCTGTTCGAACTTTCCTACAACTCTAAATTGTCGTTGAATTTAAAGTCCTATCCTATTAAAAGTTTGTAAAAGTATTAGAATTTCCAATGAGAGGCGCAAAGCTATCACGTCGTTTTTTGCTTTCTGGCAATGGCTTCAGTAGCATTTTTAATGTTTTTCAGGTCTCTAGACCGGAGTTATAGACAAAACTAAGTCATATTATATACATACATAATTAACGCACGCAAAAATATTTTTATTTCAAACTAAACATTTTATATATTATAAGTCATGCGAAGTTAATTTTCCAACTTTTTTTTATTTTGACAGTGTTGACTAATGGGGTCGTTTATTTTTATTGCTAGTTTATTTAAACTCGCGCATGTTTTCTTCGGAGTCGGGCTCAGCGGAACTATTATTACTTGTCGACACGACATCACTCATCGCGCTAATATCTCTGTGATTATCTATTTTAATGTTAAGTCGTTTTGACAAGTGGCCAATGTTTATAGCCACTAGAAAAAAAAATCCACTCGTAACATTATAAATGCTCTTATAATACGTTGCGATTTTATCATTTGACATTTATAAAATGCGAAACGACATGAAAGAAAAAATGTAATGCTATTAATATCTATGAAATTAAAACGTGAAACACATTGACACAAGATGTTTAAATTGGCCTTTAGCTTTACGACAGTAATAATTGAATAAACGATTTGCTACTCTTTTACAATCCGGTATAAGTTTAAATTGCACGAGAAAAATGATAACATCTTGGCATGAAGCCCTGGCCTATATTTCTTTTAAACATTACCGGCCATTCTTTTTCTGTTTTTGACAAAATAACACTGAATTAAAACTTCAACCATCCATTTATAACTTGTTATATATGCCCTTGAACAGATTTTAAGTTATTCGAGAACGATAGCAATAACTCTGCTTCTTCTAATAAAATGTTATTGATATTTTTGATAGTTATTTGACTTCTCATTTATTAATCTATAGAAAGCCATTAGTTATAAAAAAACATATTAAATATGCGTTTATTTAAATTAAATTACAACAATATGTAGTACCTCGTATATAGCAATAAAATCTTTGTAAAAAGTAAGCCAGTAAGTAACATTTACACAGGTCTACACTATTAATATGCAGTGTAAAGAAATTAAAAACAATGCTTACTGAGTTTTTGTTTTACCTATAAGAAACCAATATTAGCATATCACGCAATCGTTTTGAATAATACTCGGGTGTCTATTACTAAAAGCGGACAGCGCTGCAGCCACGCGGTTTCTTTGAAAATCGCCGTCTTGTAAATCGGCCACCGGACACCAAGCCGCCGCCCGCCGGCACGCGCGCCCCATACTTGATTTATCACTCCATTGTTGAACACCGGCGCTCCACCCTCGCCGGATAAGGCTAAACATTCAATTGCCGGAACGTCCCAAAACGATTTGTTCCTTTCACGTGATCGATTGACCGACTATATTTCCACCACCACTAACTACCACTTGCCGTGTACATCCGTACAATATCTATAAAACTTTTGTCTTCTTAAAATTGTAGCTAAATAAAATTAAAAAAATGTTTTGTGTCTACTCCATTTAAGGAAAGGTATTTACAATAGATTTTCTTAGATTTTCTTTCAATTAATAAAAATGTACTCTCAAAAATAAATATAATATATTCGGTAGCAACATTTAAATTGCGATAAATATACACTAATTTTCTATAGCAGAATATTGTGTTCATAACTTCTTTTGATTTCTGTAGTAAAACTCAGCCAAACATAATATACAAATATCCGCTATATTGTGTATTAGCTAAGAACAATAGGTGTACACGCATATACGAGTAACTTTGAATACTAATGTCTGCATTATGCCAGCTGGTCCACACTTGCTTACTGATTCAAAGATGATCTCAGTAACTATTGCATTGTCATTATGTTAAAAGCACTGGATATGTACCTCACGTTTTTTATACATGACTTAATTTTATTTATGATTATGTTAGGTATTAAATATTAATTGCTTTTCTGAAACTCGAAAGTTTTTTTTATAAGATCAATAATTATTTGTATCTTTTATTTTGTTACAGGCGAGTCCAGAGAATAGCAGAAATGCATCTCCCAGATACCACGATGCGTCAATGGATGATGTAAGTATTTTTTATACATCATTATCCAACAGTTATCATTCATTAATTTATTCATTAATTACTATACTTTAAAATATGTTTTTATAAAAATCCATGATTAATTCATGCTTAGTTTTTTAATAATATTTAATATATATATACTTTAGTTATTAAATCTATAATATAAAAATGAATCGCTGAATGTGTTGGTAAACGCAAATCTCGAGAGCAGCTGAACCGATTTCGCTAATTCCTTTTTTAGAATATTCCTTGAAGTACGCGGATGGTTCTTACGGAGAGAAAAGTTTAAAAAATTGCCAGAAAAAATCTAAAACAACACTTTTCTATACTCCCATACAAAAGATTCTTAATAATACTTAAAAGTCAATTTGAACTTTAATACCATACCATAAAGTTTAAGTGTTAGTGGAGAGGTTCCGAGAAGGCAAAACAATTGAGTGACTTTAGTATCGTATAAATATTAATGTCAATGTTTGTCCATATTATCAACAAAAAAAAATTATATGGCTAACGCTGGCTAATAACTATTTATATCTATTTAAAACGTACCTAGCGACGAACCCGAGCGAAGCGAGGGTGAGCCGCTAGTTACATAATAAGTTGCTTTTAGCCTCTGAGTAATTTATCAATTAAAGCTTTTTTGGTATCGCCAAATATAATACTATACTTAAATTTAGTTTGAATAATGTTTTTTATTTAAAATATTTTTAGGAAGTGACTATTAATTCTACTATTATGCTACATAATTTTGTTTTTTTTTTAATATTAAATTTAGAGCATATGGATAAAAGATTATTTATTTGTAAGTTTTAATTTTCGATTTTGTGACAGACCCGACTTGGATAACGTAGGTTGAGAAGGCAGGAACGCTACGCTACATTCTGCTCCCTCCCGCCTTAGCCTTCTCGCTAGGTCTTTTTTATTTGAAGCCCTGAACCCCCAATATCATAATTGCGTTATGTTATTTAAGATTTGGTGACAGTTTCGACTCGAAAATTGTTGTCGAACAGTATACAGAAGTGTTAAATGTTTTTTTTTCACTCCAATATTTGAAAGAATGAGAACAAAATATGTATATATATTTTCTGTCTCTTTCAAAAGCTCTAAATTAAAGATGACGTTCCTACGGCGTTCCTAGGCGGTACTCATACTTTTTCTCGTATCCTTATTGTTAAGAAAAAATATATATTTTTTTTTATAATCCATAGCAGGACTAGTAAAAATAATATTAGTCTTACAGTAATTGGATTAATAATAATAAATATTATTCGTACAGTTAGGTACTGTATCAATAGGTTCAACCTATTTTTTATGTATGTTTAACGTGTTTACTATAAGGTTATAAAATATTACACCAGATATTTTTTATGTACCTCGTGTCGCAGTTCCAATTGCACTGCTTGCGTATGAATCTAGGCCACGGGGATGAAAGTGTGCTAGAACCACCCGCGCGGATTTTTATGACCTAAATTTCTCACATTTTCATAACAATTGTATACTTAATTGGAAGAATATTACGAAGGAAAAAATATAACAAACGTTAATATACCTATGCTTTAAATACAAAATAAGATTTTCTAAAATAGTAGGTATTTTTGACAATCTTAAAATTAAGTCATACCTAATGCGTTAATTTGCTTGAATATAAAATTTGTTACAGGCATCGGACGCAGGCTCCCTGTTCCGGATGACGAACGCGGCTGGTGGCGGCAAGAACGAGCTAGTGGCGCGAGGGGGAAGCGGGGGTGCTCTAGCTCTGTCGCGAGCGCCGGTCGGCGGCAGTGCCAGCCCCGCGCCCGCGCCTCTCCCGCAGCCCGCCCCGTCGCCCGCGCCCGCCGCGCTGCCGCCGCCGGCCCTACCGCCGCCACCCTTCCGCGCCGACACCCCGCATCGTCCCAACAGCGCACACATACCCGCCATCGACGGCCACGCCGCCACACAGGTCCCCGCGCGGCCGGTCGGAGCCGCCGGGCCCGACACGCCCGAGCGACCTGCCAGCAACAACAAGCTGCAGCCGGGCGCGCGTGCCGCCGCCGACAGTCCCACGCCGGCGCCCCCTGCGCCGCACGCGCCCTCGCCACTATTCCCCTCGCACACCGCCTACCAGGCTCACGCCGCCGCCGCGCTGCCCGACTACCGCCACACCAACCACGAGACGCGGACCGAGCAGCCCCCGCCCGAGCAGCCGCACGCGCCGCTCGACCTTCACGCGCACCATGCCGCCCCGCGCGCGCCGCACGCGGCGGCCGCGGCCACGCCCCCCGCGCACCCTAGTCTCCCCGCCCGCGTCCCCCACTCGCAATCCCATCCCGTCATGCCCGGTCACGACGTTCGAAACGCGTCCCCGGCGACGCAGAGTCTCCCTTCCGTTCCTACCTCGTTTCCAAATCGTATTGTGTCAAATGGCGTGCCACAGAGTATATCGTCGCAAATTCCGTCGGCGTCTACTCCCAGTAGTCTTCCGAGTCAACAAGCACCAGGGCGGCCCATGTCTCCCACTACACCTATATCGCGTCCCTACCAAGCCCCGGCGATCGTGTCTAGTCATGTAAACTCGAGTATAAGTTCCAGTATTCACAGCCATTCGATAGCCTATCAGAGTCAATCGAGTCTACAGAAACATTCCGTTCAACCGGTATATGCGAGTCGACCCTCTCATCATACTGCTTTTAGCGTGGCAAATCATATTAACTCAAATCATCTGCCTTCATCATCAATTCCACAGACAGCTCTACATTTCAGTCATCCTATAAACAGCCACAGCATTATGAGCCATCAGAATAGTATTCCGTTAAGTAGTTCGAACCCCTTGTCCACATCCACTCCAAACCACATCAGCTCGAATCTCACGAGTGCCACGACCACTAGTACCATGTCTAACTTTACGCCGAGCCTTAAACATCCGGGCTTGAGTCTTCCTTCCCATCCGGCACCTCTCACATCAGTGCCTTTGCATCAGCCTATGAATCATATGGATCCCATTATAACCTCGAACGCGCCCGTAGTTCCAACTCCGGCATCTAGTACTAGCAGCGTAACCAGTCATCACCTAGCGCCTCCAATAGTAGATTCTAGGCAGGTGACCAATGAAGTTCCGGTCCGTTCTGAAAGTTTGGCAATCGTGAGCTCTATGGCCAGCAACGGCTACCCTCCACCTGCCGTGTACACGGGGAGCTCTTATCCGACACTATATGCTCCCTACGCTCCTACGCTTCAACATAGTCCTTACCTTCCGCCGTCTGCTGCGTCACCTAGAAATACAGCAGATGCGGTTAGTACTTGTACTAGTAGTAATTGTATAAGGAATCATTTTTTTGCATGCAAGTAATATCATATTTCACTATTTCTGTTGCAAAAACCCGTTCCTATATGTAAAATTCTGTTCTATCTATTCTGTAAAACTTAATTTCAAAACTTTATATATAAGTTTATTAATTGGTTATTTTGAAAAATTTCAGAGAACAAACCTGTCAGCGTCGCCGTTAGTCGCACCGAAGACGCCCAAAGGTCTGAGGCCGCACACGCCGGGCTCGCTCGGCGCTGCGGGAGCGCACGCGCCGCTCTCTTACTCGCCTAGAGGACATAGTCCGAGTAGAGAAAGAGATAGCTTCAGGTTGGAATTGTACATTATAGTGATTCTTTAGGTTTCGATCGATTTGTTAAAAGGTAGGTCTTTAGTGATTCCGAAATTGGTTTACATTTTTAGTTAAGTAGTTATTATTAAAAACTTTGAATTTATATTTATCTAATTTTCAAGTAACGTAGTATAAAATTTATATATAAAAAATTGCCGCTATTCTTCAAGGTCAAAAAAAAACTATTGTAGACTAAAAAACGTTTAACCTTTTGGACTAAATTGCAGTGTTAATTTAAAAATAAACCAGTTTTAAATAGCGGGGTGAATTCTATAAAAATAACTAATGTTAAAAATATTATATGCTGTTGCTTATGTGATTCCATCCAATCCATCCGTGATATAGTAGTGTCACAAACAATGTTTAATGTTAATAGTGTCCAATATCGACACTGGAATAAAAAGTAAATATGTTTGACATCAAGATTTCATAATCTGTCAACAACATAAAAGTGTACTTCTGGAATGATAATAATGCCCTGATAGAGTTTTCTTACTTTATAAATTAATTTTTATTGACTTTTATTACTATTGACACCTGTTTTAAGGGTGTTCCCTTAAACCAGGTGTAAATAGAAATAAGACACGTCCCTAGGTGCATAAACAGAAGCTTATGTATTACTCCAGGAAAAAGTTTATCCGTGTACTAAATTCATCCGAATCTGTCCAGTTGTTTCATGAAGCACGAAAAAGTAACTAAACACACGTAAAAACTTTCACATTTATAATAGTAATAACAACCTGTACAATTTGTTCCAGCAGCAACATCAGCAGCCTCTCGCGCAGCACACCCGCGTCGGGCGGCGCCGGCGCGACCCCCGCCGTGTCGTCCGCCCTCACCGCGCCGCTCGCCGGGCCCCTCCCCGCCCCGCTCGGAGCGCCGCTCGCTGCCCCGATACCGGCGCCCATACCGGTATGTTGACTGTATAAAAATCAAAAGGGCTTTGTAGTTTGTTTTTAACTCGGTCGACGACACGTTTGACTCAATTTGTAGTGACCCTACTTGCTGGGCCAGCGATCGCGGATTCGAATCCCGCTGGGGGCATTCATTTGTGGGATTTGCACGAACGTTTGTAGTCCAGTCATGGATGTTTATATTTATATTATGTATGTATTTAAAGTTATATATGTGTAGTATAATATCAACTATCTGGTATCCATAACACAGGCCTCGTAGCTTACCATGGAACTTGATGGCGCTGTGTGTTAATGTCCCAACATATTTATATTTTAACTGAAATGCCGCCAAATGAAAGAGTTATCAAAAATAACAACACTGGCTGGTTTCAATGAAAAGCTCGACACTATAACGATAGAATTTCACCAGGAATAAATGGCTGCAGTCCAAATTTCTCCAATTCCCTATTATTAAAGGAAAGAGGTATTTTTAAGTGATGTAAATAAACAAAATATCAATATTTAATAATTACTTCGCCAGGGATCAGTACCACCTCTGGGCAGCTCTCTAGGGCCTCTGACCACTGGTCTAAGTAGTCTGGGTGGTCTGAGCGCGCTCGCAGCGCCCACCCCCACCGCGCCCACGCCCGCCGCGCCGCACCTGGCGCACTCGCTGGCGCCCGTGCCCACCGTGCCCAGCATCAGCTCGAGCGCGAAGCCGCCCGCGCACTGGGGGGTAACGTGAGTATACGACGGGATATATTACGTATTTTATATTTGTAATGTGTGTATGGTCTTAGTTGCTTGAGGATTGTGGGATCTCGTGTTTAGCTTTTTAGCTAGCTTTATACGATCTGTTTTAGTTATACATATATGTATGTGGATATTGTGAAGGCATATTGTACATCATTTATTCGATCTAATCGTAGGCTTTTTTAAGCATGAACAGTTTTATTGAAATATGGTCAGTATTTTTTATAATATACTTAAATAAATACACTAAACGTTGCAACAAAAATTCTGTGTTGGAGCAAAGGACTAATATATAAACATTTATCACTCATAAACATATCAGTCATATTATATTTATTGGAAATAGCCAATATGATTGATGACGAAATTATCTAACATCTTATTAGAAATCGATTCGTATTCAAGGGCCAATTTATGGCTAAGGCAGTATATAAATATATTTTACCTAAGATCATGAAATTTGGTCACATAAATAGTTAGTGTAATGAAGAGTGCTCGTAAGATTGTAGGAAATTACATTTTAAAGATAAAGAAATTGGGTTAAATTTGTGTGAAACAATTTAATCAAACAGAATACACAAATAAAGTAAGCGAGCTAATGCTTATATTATGTTATATAGGTTTATTAAAACATCCATTGAAAAAGAATATTGTATGTATAAAAGTACGAAAATTGATTGGTATCTAATATCTTCCAGCAGGCCGTCAGCTGCGGATCGGAGTGGCGGCTTCGCGCCCGCACCGCCACTGTTCGGCGCACCGCTCGCGCCGCCTAACCCTAACCCTTTCTCCGCCGAGTCACTTTTTCAATCGAGTAAGTTTTTAAGACTTATTAATTTTATCAAAAGAAATTACTTTAATATTTGAATAATAGTATTGCTATTGATATTGTTTTGATTTTCTCGAGAACACTACCTCTTTTATATTATCTAAGTATAGGCCAAGTCTATTGAAAATCATCATTCAGAACAAAATCTTGTTTTGTTATACTGCAAATAAAAAGAACAAAATATTATCCGACTACTATACTACGAATGCGAAAGTTTATATGACGTACGTCTATTACTTCTTCACGATAAAAGGTCTGGACGGATTAATAGACTATTAGTTAGGTATGGCATTAATATATTTAGCATACTTATGATTACTACTTATGACAATTCTAGGTCCTGGTGCAGATCTGTTGCGTCGCGAGTTGGACAACCGGTTCCTAGCGGCGGCGGGGGCGGTGGGCGTGCGCACCGAGCTGCACCACCACCAGCACCAGCACACGCACGTGCACCAGCACCCGCCGGCCACGCACGCGCCGCACGCGCCCCACGCGCCGCACGCGCCTCACGCTCCCCACGCTCCCCACGCACCCCCGCAGCCACACCACCCGCATCAGTTGTTAGTGCCGCATTCGCCATTGGTATGTGGTTTTTATATTGGCTATACTAATAGCTAAATTTTAGTAAGCGTTTAAATAAGAATTTACTTTGCTCATACCGTAACTAATAACTAAAGTAAAAAATTAGAAGATAGCTATCAATATATGTACTTATGTACATGATATATGAGTATTGTAAATATATCTATTTATACAATAATACCTAAACAAATCTATGCTTCATCCCATAATCCCATGTATATAAATAAAAATGAATGGCTAAATGTGTTGATAAGCACAAACCTTGAAAACGGCTGGACCGGATTCGGCAAAAAATTAGCCGATTTTTCTAATATTCGTTGGAAGTCTGAGGAAGGAAGAGAGAAAAATTTTAAACGTACACCACGCAAAAACGTATTAATACTTTTTTCGTACGATCATTACCTGGACGGCCAGATCTTTTTCTGTCACAAACAGAGGAGGGTTAATTGTACTTATCAATAGCCCGGTACACAAACATTTGACTAATACCAAGCATATGGAGAGTTTTAAAAATTGTATTTGGCTCCATACGTACTTTGGTAATGCAATCACAGCGATTCGGTTCTCTTTATAACCTCACAACATTTTAATATCACAAAATATTTTACAATATATTGGTGCGAAAATGAGAAAACACAATGAACAAATTTATAAAAATGACAGTTTACAAATTCAAATGTAATACATATTTTGTTTATTTTTAATTGTAACAGTATTTATGGCCAGACTATGTATATACAATATCTATTTCATACTAACTGTTAAACCATACCTAGGGATGAACTCGAGCCAGACGTGGGTGAGTTGATACGCTAGTATATCCCATTGATTATTAATTATATAATAATATTATATGTGAAAGTTTGGATGGATGTTTGTTACTCAATCACGCCAGAACTGCTGAACGGATCTGGATGATATTTGGCACAGAGACAGATCATAGTCTAGAATAGCACATAGGTTACATTTTATCCCGGAAATCCATATTAACTTTTAAAACGTACCTAGAAACAAACCCGAGCAAAGGGAGTGTGAATCACTAGTAGAAAATTAGTATAATATCAGAGATACAGCAATTTAATAATAATAATAATAGGGGGGTTCTGACAGCTTTACCTAAAAAGTGAAAAAGTTAAAATATGTTATTTTTAAATAATAATATATTACTCTTCCTTTTCAGTTCAAAGACGTTGGGAAGATGACATCATTGTACCGAAGTGGTATTGGACTTGGTTATCCATATTCTTCAAGTCTTTTACATCCAACGGCGCCTTATGTACCGCCTGCACCACTAACTACTTACGCACCTAAGGTATAATTAAGTTATTATATCAAATATATCCTTTCTTATAATTTTTTGTCTATTGTAATAATATATAATTATTGTAGTACCATTACTAGCTAACTATCATACATACTATGTAGCGTAATAATATCCTTTCATAGAAGTTATATGAATTTATTGCCTCCTTAATCTACTATTAATTTTGCTTTCTCATTTGTAGAATATTAATTGAATAAGTCAAATTGGGAGTTTATGGTTCTTTATCAATGATCTAATTCCTCTCTCTGCTATCATAATGGGAGCACATCGCTTAATGCTTCTCTCTTTTATTTGCTACCATCATTAACATTGCATCGCCTCATGTTAACAGCCCGTAGTGTCGGCAGCAAGCGACTCCGCCACTAAACCACCACCGCGTCCTTCTGTTATGGTAGGTTTCCTTTCGCACTTCGTTATGCATGCTAACTGGCAATTTGTTCTTTTGCATTCCTTCATATTATAGTTATAGTACATATTACTATTATAATAAATAATTTGTTTCATATGATCATTCAGAAAACTGGCAAATGGAACGCAATGCACGTACGAATCGCTTGGGAGATCTACAACCATCAACAAAAAGAGAAGACCGGTGGCGCCAGCGTGGCCGTCAGCAGCGCGGAGAAGGATAAGCTGCGCGCCTTCCCCGCACCCGCGCCGCCGCCGCCCGCCTACCGCTCGCCCTACGAGCTGCCGCCCGCGCCCTACCTGTCGCACCACGCGCCCCTAGGTATGGTGCGCTACCCCGCGCGCCCCTCCCTCACACCCGCCCCGCTCGCCGCGCCCGCTGACCGACATTTGGGCGTTTCAGGGGTATCGCCGTTCGCGCGCTACGGCGCCGGCGCCTTCCCCGCCGCGCCCGGCCCCTTCGCCCTCTCGGCGTACGGCCGCGAGCTCGCGCTCTCCTCCTCGCTGCACGGCGTGCACCACGCGCCGCCCCTGGGCGCGCTGCACGACGCGTGGCGCGGCGCGCGTCCGCCCGTCTCGGCCGCGGAGGTGCGGCGCGATCACGAGGAACGCGAACGTGCGCGTCGCGAGCGCGACGAGCGCGAACGCCGCGAGCGAGACGAGCGCGAGCGCCGGAAGGCCCGCGAGCAGCGCGAGCGCGACCTCGAGCGCGTGCGGACGCGTTCGCCGCTGCGCAACGGTGCACCGGAGCCCCCCAAGGAGGAACGCAAGGAGCCGCCGCGACCGCCGCCTGCGCTCCCCGCGTACCCGCCGCCGCCGCATTGGGACGCGTACCGCGCCTTCGACCCGCTGCAGCACATGCGTTTCGCGCCGCTGGTGGAGGCCGCCATTCGCGCGGAGGAAGACCGCGCCAAGATGCTGAGCGCGTACGCGCACCATCACCACCAGCTGAAGGCGCCGCTGCTGCACCGCTCGATGCCGGGAGGGCCGCTGCCGCCGCTGGGCGCACACGCGCACGGGCACCCCGCGCTCGCCCCGCTGGCGCCGCTCGCGCCCTCGCTGGCGCCACTCGCGCCCCTCGACTTGCTCAAGAAAGAGGAGCCGCGATGATAGCGACCCTAGTGCGAACTGTATCGTCTTACATTATCGGTTTAGAGAATTATTTATTGTAACGTCGCTTGCGAGGGGACGGCCGCCGCCCGCCGCCCGCCGCGCGAGGGACGGACGGGGCGAGCGCCGCCGAGTGTCATGTGCAATATAGGACGAGATCACGGGCGCGCCGCGCGCCCCACTGTAAACTACTGCTTGTTTATTTACATGAAAATATCTATCGAGTTGTTATTGTGACCATTATTAGTTAATTATACATTAAATCGCTGAGTATGTGAAGGATAGGATTATCGGAATCGCTATCATATAATTATACATATTTATATATACCTATAAATAAAATGTAAATATTAGTTTGTAAATTAGTGTTAAAATATAGAATTGGTTTATTTAACGTCATACAAAGGAAAAAATCCCATAAATTATTATTCTATCGGGAGTATAATTTACACTTCCGTTAAAAATCTCATAATGGTTTTTCAATTGTACCAGTGGTGGATTATTTATTTATTTATATAGAACTTCATTTTTTTGGTTTTGAATAGAATCGACTTCGATTTTCGTTACATATTAGCAGTTGACATTTCTTCTAATGCATTTAAGATATGTGATATTATTATATTGTGAAAAACATTTTGTCTGACTTCAAGGTAGTGTCTATTTGCAGGTAGATATATATTACAGTAATAAAATAAATTTATAATATCGTGTTGTCTACTTCATAAACTTATTTATGAAATTTCATTTATTTTTCAATAAAATCAAGCTAATAATGCTTCCATCAAATAATATTTTTATGGTTTACCTTAGTGAACTCGACATGTGCCATTAAAATTTAATATTAATGGACATTAAGTCAGACAAAATTTTATTATAACCTGTTTTAAGGCACATTTAATGATTGTGTTCTCATGATTTCATGAAGGGTAATTCAGATGTGTATTATAGTTTATACAAAATCATTCTGTATACTAAAAGTAAATGAAAGCTTGGTGCGATTCAGAAAATACCATTAAAACTTTTGATTTTTATACCAACATGACTTTCTTTTATCAATGTCCTTGACAAACATTTTTATGGAGGAATTAATTCAAACATGTTCGAAATTGCTATTAAACGATCTACAGTATAATCTATTTAATCTCCTATGCAAATATTTTTGCATAATTTAAAATAATAATAATGTTCTCTCGACGGATTACGACGACCACGGCGGCCAATCTCACGCGACAGCCAACTGCGCAAGAGACATAATAAATAAATATGTTAGCACATTATCACACAGCACCATCTAGTTCCATGGTAAGCTACGAGGTTTGTGTTATGGATATCAGTTAGTATGTATATAACTACATACACATAAATATAAACAACCATGACTGGAGTACAAACATTCGTGTTCATCACACAAATGTATGCACGACCGCTGGCACAGCATGTAGGGTCACTAGTCAGTACAAACTGAGCCGAACGTGTCGTCAAACATAGTGAGCAAGTGTATGCAGAGACACAAGTGCTTTGTGTACTCCTGTCTCTTTCATACTCTGGTGGTATGTCGATTCAACACGACCTGGAGACCCGGTGCAGGCCAAACGCAGGAATGGAATCCAGGACCTCTGAATCTGCAGCAATACTTACAGTCACTTATCCGATTTATCATAGTTATAATAAAAATTATAATAACTAATATCTTTATCTATACATATATATAAAAAATATATAAAATTGTAACTAAGCCGAATCTGTACATTAAATATTTTTTGGAAAATCTTATTGAAATAGACATTATTATCGATACAGAGGCCGAATCTATAGTTTTTAGATTTTTGGTCTGTCTGTTACCGCATCACAGAAAAACCAATGGAGGGAGTTTGATGAAATTTGGTATGATGATAACTGGTTATCCGGGTCAACATATAGGATACTTTTTACAGCGGAAAAATATCTCTGTGAAATCGATACTAAACATTAAAACGTAAGCAGGGACGAACCCGAGCGAAGCGAGGGTGCGTACATATACAATTCAAAGAAAGCAACGCTTCGCTTCGTTCGAGTACCAAGCCTTTGTGTTACTTTAGATCATAGATTTATTCAAGTAAATAAACATCCAAATCTGTCCAGCACTTTCAGTGTGAAGGAGTCGCAAACATAAACAAAGAAACTTTCGCTTTTATAATATTAGTAGTCTGATCGACGTGGTACAATTATGTACTAAAATAATTTAATATAAGGGCTGTTTTGTGCTGATATAAGTTTTTTTTCTTACTTTTATGTTTAAGGTTTTATTTACTCTATTCCAATGACTTAATAATAAAATAAAAAAAATCAAGTAAAAATTAATAAAATGTCGTATAGATGTCTTCTACAAAGTCCCAACATATCTTTAAATATTTTTTTAATATCCAATTTTTCTTAGTTTTTTTATTGTCCAAAACTTGATTCATGCTCCAATTTTACACAATAATTATCTTATTCAGTGAAACTGTATTTGTTTGTGTACATGAATATTGGGGTAGAACATAGGTATCCTACGGCACTAGTCAGTCCATAAAATGGCATTCTTTAATCAAAACTCTATAAAACTGCATCACTCATCAATTCACTACGCAGTTTAGGGGCCATCCCTAAATTACGTCAAACGAATTTAATGATTTTTTGAGCTCCTTGTCACATAAAATATTTTTTTAATAATATCAACATTAACAGCGTGGTAGAGCGAGCGGCTTGCTGCCCACCGAGAATTCGCCAACAAAACAATATAAGCCTTATATAGCGTAAAAGAAAGATCATTTTTTTGAATTTTTCGTTTACAGTTAATATTTTATATTTTAATACTTTAGATTTTGACGTGACGTCACGAAACTTATGACTTACCCCTGCCCCTTATCACACAATTGTCACAGTTCGTTGACCCACCCCTCTCCCCTTAACGTATGACCTTATTTATAAATGGCCCCGCAATAGATTAAGCAAATAAACATACAAACCAATAACACTTGAGTGTTTAAGAAGTTTGTTGTGATAATCAGTATGAAATCAATCAGTGATAATAATGCAAGCTCAAAGAATTGCTTTATCGATAATATAATACCTATGGTATAAAATAGTTTCTACAAAGAGAATATGCAGATGGCTAATTTTATTTGCCAATTGTTCAAATATCGGAATTATGAATAGTTGTTAGCGGATCTTAAATTTTAATATGGATCACGTAGATCGAACCCACAATTTCACTGACAAACAAGTGATGCGAAACAATATTTTATCATCATATTTTTCTCCTTTCAAAGTAGACAAAGCAAACATGTATGCAAAAAAACATGCACCTTGTCTAACAAATTATTGATCTGAATTGAATTAATGAATGGGCTAGAAAGTTTTCTTTAAGTGATTTCTATTTACTTGGATAAAATAAGAAAACATTCAACATATCTTTGCAATTCTATTTTTCTATTATGTGTCCTACATTTTAATGAGTATAATATTTGGCAAACATTATAAGTGAGGATATACTAAAAAAAACAATTAAAAAGGAAATTCACTACAACATGATTGTTTTATGTAATCCTGAGAATAAATTACAATAACATTTAGACAATTTTACATTATTAATATTTTTATTTTTTACTTTCTGTACCACACTTGGATAGTTTTCATTCTCTTGACCTTCTTTTGTAATTGCAGAACTCCATATAGTAAAGCTTCGGCAGTTGGTGGACATCCAGGTACATATATGTCAACTGGCACAATGCGGTCACAACCTCTGTAATAAAGTAATTTATGCACATAAACCTTATAGAAAAATGATTAATAGTTCAATGAAATATGTAACTTGGCTGGACAGCTACCGCATGTCTTGATACTTGTTGGTTTTACAATATTAAAGGCTTTTTTCATTGGTAGTCAACTTCATCATTGATGAATGAAAGTGCTTCAATAATATCTTGGTCAATATAAAACATGGATATTCCCCACAAATGACAGTCCTCTGTAGCATGCATTAATCCCATACCTTGCATAGGGGCCTTTAGGATTATTAATAAATAATAATAGTAGAGTATAAATGTACTATGCCATTAAAATATTTTTAGTACATTAAATATGCTCATCATCAAAATATAAAAATATAATATTGTTTTCAAAATCTAAAATACATTTTATGATGAAATGTTTAAAAGCTAATATTGTCTGTCCAATAATATTTATTGAAAGTTAGATATTATCTGTCTGACTTTAACTATGATTTCACAGTATAAAAAATATTATTTGGTTGAGTTTAAAATCAAAACTTACATTGAATACTGAATGTATTCAATGTAAGTTCTGTTTTTATTGACTTATAAAACAAATCTTGAAATCTTTGGTGCATGAGTTTGATTTACAGTTGACTTTTGATTTGTTTGCCTGAATCATGTTTTATTGATATTTACTTACCTCACAACAGAGTAAGAATAGTGATAGTAACCACCTCCATTTGCACAACTCCCCATTGAAATTACCCATCTGGGATCGGGCATTTGATCATAAACTTTCCTTAAAGCTGGAGCCATTTTATTTGTCAAAGTTCCAGCAACAATCATAACATCAGATTGACGGGGTGATGCTCTGAATACTACACCATATCTAAATAATATAACAAACATTTGTTTATCTTAAAACATTTTACATTTGTCCTGCTTTCATCAGTGAACATGACAAGTAAAAAATTGTGAAGATTCTTTTCAAAACCTTACTTAATTACTTGGCTGATATAATGCAATACAGGAATAATAAAAATGTTATTATTGAAGTTATACTTCTTTTATGACATTTGGAAAAAATTATGAGTGTAAAATTTTTATGATGCGCATGCACACAGACAGCTAAAAGACGACAATGAAGTTAGCTGCATTCCTTTTAGGAACAGAGAGTTATGACATATGGGATGAAATCAATAGCTATAGTCCTATTACACCAAAGAAGTACTTATAACTTCTTATGTGCATACATAAGTACACAAAAACGTTATTTTTGTTTAATTTAACAGTTTATGAAAAGGAATAAATTTAAACGTACCTGTCCATATCATATCGTGGAGCAGCAATATGCATCATCTCTACAGCACAACAAGCTAAACCAAACGTCATGGGCCATATAGAACCCTTTCTTCCCCAGTTTAATAGGTCATCCAATCTCGCAACGGCATATTCAGCGACATTATTAGTATTTTGGAAAGGAGAATACGGCCTTTTTTCTTTTGGGTTTGGTGCTGGTAAATGGGTCTGACGGATTTGATTCACAACAGGTGCAAAGGCTCCATTTTTCACAACAGATAAAACTGTAGAAGGAGCAGCCGCTCCTAGAGCTTTTAAAGCTTGCATTTTGTCTGTAAAGTCAAAACGCAAAAATGAACAACCTATAAATTTGATAGCACTATAACTGTTAACAGAATGTCACATTGATCAATTCACTGTTGATTGCATTATTTTACTTACAATATTAGCACATGAGCTGTTCTATCGACTGTAAAACTTAAAATTAATAGATATTATTATGGAAAATAAAATATTTTACGTAACAAGAGCATTTATGAGGCTTATTAGACTGTATCTGTCAATTGTCAAATATTTAAGTAAAGTACCACCAAATACTCAACAATAAATATTAGTATTTTTTTCTAGTCTTCCTTAATATTTAAAAAAAAATTAATATGTGGTCTCTATATACATATAAATGTTCATAATATAAAATTACTTGATAATTTTGTGTTTAATGGGAACAGGGAAAGATTTCTTGAAAAGAGGGCGTCACACGTATAGCCTATATACATTCAGTCTGAGGCTAAGCAATTTATTGTGATATCTCTTTTATAGCTGGTTTTTTGCTTCTATTGTGTTCGCATCTTACCTATGCAATGTATTGTACCTATAAATTAGATCAATTGGAGAAAGAATGAGAAGGCGAAATTTTGAGGACATATTCCATACATGATGTAGGCATCCGATAAAAAAGGATTTTTTTGAAATTCATCTCCTAAGTGGGGTAAAATTGGGAATTAAAGATTGTATAAAACTCTGTCATTCTTAATGTGAAATATACAGAAAGTGGTGTTTAGCTTTAAGATTAAACATAAAAAATATATTTATTTGACTTTTAAAGTTTATATGGGCAAAGCATTATTTATGATTAGAATTACTTGAAACTTGGTACGCACTTCTATACATAAATACGTATTTTTTCATTTTTCCCTCAAGGGGGTAAAATGGGGAATGAAACATTGTAAAAATTTGTAATTTATACATAAAAAAGTACAAAAAATAACAAAAAATATTCACATGTAGGTAATTTAACAGTTTTAAAATAACTTTCTTTAAAATGATGTCCACATAGCCTTAAATATATAGATTGTGATTTCGCCAATTTTGGTCGTCTTATTCTTATCTTGTAGCTCTGTTTAGAACTTTTTATTTTTCTTCTTTTTAGGACAAATGATATGCATTTTCTTTGCATCCTGGCACTGCACAATTTGTTTTTTTGATTAAATTTTAAATAAAATGAAAAAAAAACCATCCACATTACAGAGCGTTACATATAGTGAGGGCCATAGTGATCGCGACATCTGGCGGGAGAAGGAGGCAACATTTTTCAGTGCAAAAAATTAAAACCTGTAACTATCCTCGTAAATATATTTTTTGATCTAAAACTAGTGATTAAAAGAAAGTTTATTTTTATTATTTTAATATATGATTAATTTTTAAAATCGTACTTTTATTAAATGTAGTTTACGTCTGCACTTTACATGTAATTTTATCTTAAATTTAATTACTCAATAATATAAAAAATAGGATAAACATGTATCGGTGAAATTGGTATTCAAATTTCGAATCATAGAGTATATTGCTACATGTTTCGAATGAATGCACCGTAAAAGTTTTTATGTTTGAATTTTAAAATTTTGACATTTAAAATTTCAATATTTTTGTGTAACATTTCTATAAAGTTTGTGATATTAATAAGAAATTTGTTGAAATGAGTTGCTTATTGCTTTAAATTATTTTCTACTTAAAAATTAATGTATCCTATCAAAAATATAAAGTTATGTAAACATTATAATAATAAAACAATAAATAATTAAATTTATAATAAATTTAATCTAAGAAAAAAAGACTACCTACTTGTCGTCCTGTTATACTGACATTTAAACTTCGATTAAATTACAGTCATGAACGAATTGTGGCTGTTTTAAATTTATATTTGCAATTTGTTTGTTAAGAATTACTATTATGGCTAATGCAAGAAAGGTAAAGAACGCGTCATCTTTATACTTCTAAAATATTTTTTTAAATTATCTTATTAATAAGATAAATTCTTTCTTAAATAGGAAAAGAAATGGTTTAAATCTATGTTTAATTTCGATGATTGCCCGCCTGAAAAAAAATCTAAAACGGATATTCTGGACATAAGTACTACAAAGGTTGAGGTAAATAATTGTTTGATTATAGGACAGAAGCTCTAAGCAATTTTCAAAGAAAGCAAAATTTTGTCCTTTTTTTTTTTAAATGTTCACCTTACAATGTTTTCACTTTAGCAATCTGCAAAAAACGTTCCAAGTGGAAACTTTATATCCAACATCAATGATAAAAATTGGATGAAAAATTTTGATCCTCTTCATGTTGAAGATTTAGCTGTTCATGTTAAAAAAGTACAAGAAGTAGAAGAATGGCTTAAAATGGCATGTTTTAACAGTCACAACAACATGTTACTTCTCTCTGGACCTGTAGGTTGTGGGAAGACAGCCACAGTGCACACACTAGTAAATAAATATAATATCAAAGTCACCGAATGGATTACACCTTTAGACATTGAATATCCCTCAGAATTTGGTATGGATTGTTTTATAAAAAATACAATTTATTATGTAAAAAGGTACATAGTATATACATTATTATTTATTATTATATTATTTTGTATATTTTAGGTGAATATGAGTTTAAAGAATCACAATCAAAAAAGTTTTTAGAATTTATAATAAATTCAGCAAATTTCACATCATTATTGGATAATAATAACTGCAAGCTGGTTTTAGTTGAAGATTTTCCTAATACATTTCTAAGAAGTCCACCAGAATTTATAGAAGTTTTAGAGTAAGGTTTCTTTTTCCTTAAAGTAGATTTTTATATGAAACAATTATACAGCAAGGTTGATTTTCAGGAAATATAAATTAAAAGCAAAGTCTCCAATAATATTTATTTGTTCAGAATCATATACTGAAAGTAAGAATACGGCTTTTCATCTTTTTACACCAAGTGTAAAAGAACAATTTAAAATACACCATATATCGTAAGTATAAATTATTATGTCTGTACATAAATAAATTAGTAAGAAATTATTATTTGAGTAATTTATATAATTAAACTTTTTTACCAATTTTATCAGATTCAACAGTGTATCTGCCACAGGTCTAAAAACAGCTCTCAAAAGGGCTACTGACATTATAAGTAAGAAGTATACCTCCACATATAACATACCAAGTACAGATTTAATTGATTCAGTTGTCAATTCTTCTGGAGGAGATGTTAGATCTGCTATATTAAACTTGCACTTTGCATCTTTGAAAGGTATGCTCCATAAGAATAAAATTAATGTTCTGTTAAGAATTAAAGTTGTAGTGAAATATTTTTAAAATTATATGTAGGTTGAAATAATATTCTACTACATACATACTTATATATACTCATCAGGAACAAATAAAAATTAGTTCAAATAAATGTCAACAGATGGCATTATATGTTTTGTTTTATTATTTGAAGTAAAATTAACAAAAGATAAAAAATAGATTCCAAAAAGGTATGAACAAACCTCTTTAATTTTATAGTTTTTATTTAAAAAAATTCTCATACGGCCAAATGAAATATTGCACTTTTTTAATCTTTGAGTAATTTTACTGATTATTGAAAATTTTGCAATTAGGTAATGCATTTGCAATGTGTTATTGTATTCAAAGAAAGCACCTTTACTGTTTTTGAATTGTATGCTACGGTTAAATTTTAAATTCACTGAAAGTTAAATAAATTCATATCATGCAGATTTAGATGTATATTATCTATTCAAGTAAACAAAAATAGCCCAAATGAGTGCTATACAATTCCGTATAAGATGAGGCGTCTGTAATAATATAAATATAGTATTAGTTACATCATCTGTGATTAATGGTGAATAAATATTTTTTCCCCAGATTTAAATATCAATGACTTGGCACTTTCTACAAAAGTCCCTTAGAATCAGTATAAACAATGATAACCATATTTATTATATTTCAGGAACAAACTTTAATTTAGAGACAAATTTAATAAAAGATAAAGAGGTAAAAAGTAAAACAACTAGAAAGAAAAAGAATACTTCTAATAAATTTATGTCATTAGGAAAAGACGAAACAGTTAGCATTTTACATGGTGTTGGCAGGGTACTGAATCCAAAAGGTATAAGCTTTCACGTTTATTAATAATTCGAAGCTGATATTCATTATAGTATTATAAATATATATTTTCTTTCACAGAAGTAACAGACCAAGATGGAAAGAAGGTTCTAAGTCATTTACCAAAAGATGTTATTGAACAATTTTTAAGTAGCCCTTCTTCATTTATTAATTTCTTGCAAGAAAACTACTTGCCTCATTTCTCCTCAATTAATGACGTAGACATAGCAGCGACAGCGCTCAGCACAGCCGACTGCATGTTGGCAGAATGGAGGGTGAGGATTTATTTATGACACTAGTAATAAAATCAAATACACATTAATATTAATGTCTTCCTGAACAATTTCGCCCGCTTCGTCAATCTCATTGAGACTAGCCAATTGCTTACGAGATATCATATTGCACAAGTGCATGCACAGATATTAGTGTACTCTATTTCTGTTACTCTCATACTCCAGGGGACGACAATCCGACATGACCGGTGAAATATTAGGCACGGGGGTGATTAACATGCCAACTCAAGGCTATTACTATAAACTTGACAGAAAAACACTAAATTCAACTCGAGCCAGGACTCGAATTCAGGACTACCGAAACAGCAGCTGTGCAAACATAATAGACTGTTTCTGTTATTTGCACGGCTTTAGTTGCAGTTTTTATTCATGCATGGATAATTTCTTTTAACCATATTTTGACTGACAATTACCTTGTGGGATGTTACTACGTATTACTTCTGTCTAAACAACATAAAGTTATGAATGGCACTCTTAAAAGCCACTAAACAAAGAATTGAATATTTATTACTTACAAAGTTCTCCAAAATAAATTAATATATAGCAGTTTTTCACTCGGTAAATGATAGTGGTATTTGAAAGAAATTTGCTTTGCATTAGACTGAAAGTTCGATTCTCGTTCCAGTTAATTGTTAAAAATGACATTGCTACTATCTGACAATACCTCATGTAAAATATTTTTATAATAATATAATCTATATATATAAAAGAGCGAAGCGAGGGTGAGCCGCTAGTTTTACATAAAAAAATTACAATTCTTTAGGAAAAAGTATGCCAGGAGTATGGTCTTTACATAGGAGTGGCGGGCTTGATGTTAGCCAACAAATCTCCTGTGTCTGCATGGAATCCAGTCAGAGGCCCAAAGAATATGAAAATTCAATATCCGTGAGTAATTTCTTTATTAGACTTTTTACAACTGCCTTGTGCAACTTAAACACGATGATTATTTTATATGATACAACAATTTCATAGCCAAATATTATTATTAGCAGTTCTGTTCATCATTAAAATGTGTTTTTTAGTTTTTTAAACTATTAATTTATTTTCCATTTTTTAAGTTTGATCTGCTGTAGACAATTGTTTTTTTAGTTTTTTAAATAATAATTTACAATAGTATTTGTACCTATTGTAACATGTATTAATAGGAATTGTAACGAGCATATATAATTATAGATATTACATTTGATTATAGATGGTATATGTATTGATTGTACAGTCTCTCACTTGGTCTCGCAAGTGCACTTCGCACTTAAATAAACGCTTAATAATAAAGCCTTATTAGTTTATCCTCACGTCTGCCACAGTATTGTCATCGGTCTTTTTTAAATGTGCAAAGTTTCAGTTCAATCTGAAGTTTTGAAGTGAGTGAAAATCGCGTTCAAAGATTCCATTACATAGATATAGGTGAAGCTAATAAAAGCGTGTTGAAGGCATTGCAATTTATAATTCGTGCCTACAAATGAAATATCAATATCACATACAATATAAAAATTTGTGCTTTATAGTATAGATTGTAGTATATATCTTATGTAAGTAAAAGTTTTCCCAAGTCTGCTCTTCCACAAATCCTGTTTAAACTCCATTTTTATATTTCAGATCTCTCACTGAATTACCACAACTTGAGCCAAATTTTTTGTACAAAGGGAAAGTTTTAGTAATAGATTACTTAACATATTGTAAGAAAATCGGGAATAAATCAGATAATAATTTAAGTAATGATGATTATGATTAAGATGTTTCGCAAATATTTTATGTATAAATATAAAAAATTTAAATAAAACAATCATTACATTTCTGTGTTTTATTAAAAATATAGACACGTTCAAAGTATGGAAAATAATAAAGGTATGGGTGTAGTTTCATTTGTTATGGGTAGCGGGAACATTGGATCTGGGAAGAAAATTAAATATCAAATCATTTTCCATCTTTATTAACAAAAGACCATTAAATTGTTACAAAATAAAATCCTACATACATAAACACTGCACTTTTGTCAAATAATTCCTAGTTCATTAGCACTGATCACTCACTCTAGTCAGTTCCCATTTTGCAAGCTTTTATAACAAGAAATTGTTTATTATTTATAAAGTCAAGTTCCTATGTTTTACAATTTACAACAATGAAGTCATACTTACCGTTACCGTCCCGGCCCTCTACTAAATAATGTATTTAAAATGCGTATTGATAATAATACTCACCTATTCGAAGTCTCTGGAATATGTCATGTGTTGTGTACTTATTTATATGAGTATTTTTATATAAGCAATCGGCATGTGAAAATCTGAGTTATTGTACTGAATATTGGTAAGATATTTGAATCTGGTTAGGTTTTTTATTCAGTAAATATAACCGACATTCCACTAAAATCTTGTAATATTAGCAATAATTGGAAATTATAAAATGATTCATTGAACTGATTGATAAATTATAGTTGAATCATTAAAAATTCAACAAGCACACTCATGTATATATATATATTGATTTTCTGTATTATGTTAAAGTAAGTTATTGTGTTCACTAGTGTTATTTGTTTTAAAAATTTACTATTAATATTGGTCCGTACATAATAACAATTCTGTATATGTAAATCTGTTCTGTGTATGTTTCAGTGGCGAAGGGTGAAATTTTGGCAGAGGTAAGCCATTCCAAAAATACATAATTTTTATATACGTATTAATGCAGAAAGAAACAAAGCTATTATTTTATATATATATTTCCAAAAGAACATTTATACATTTAAAAAATTAAATGTATGTAAAATTATATAAAAATACATTTTAGGTAAGACGGTCTTTTGTGGACCCTTCACCACTGGTATGTTTGCATTGGCAACACTGACAAGTGATGAGACAGCATTGTGTGTGTTTGAATGTGTGAGTGTAAGGTGAGACGAGGTTTGGTGTGCGAATGTGTTGGGGTGTCAAGGTCTACCGGGAGGAAGAGGAGGAGGACCTGGAGCGGCGGCGGCGCGGCGCGGCGCGCGGAGAGCGTGAGCGCGAGCGGCGGCGGCGCGGCGGCGAGCGGCGACGGGGCGGGCTGCGGCGCCGGTACCTGTGGTGCATGCTATTGTTAATTATCACTATATTATAAATTAGCTTCGGTGTTCTAGTTAGTAGCAAGTACGGATCTGGTACAGATCTGGAGGTCCTGGATTCGAGTCCTGGGTCGGGCCAAATCTAGTTATCAAGTCGTTTTATTAAGAAAGTGTCATCTGCGCCTGATTTTCGTACGTCGAATTGTTGTCTAACCGGAAGGTGGGAGGGAAAGGAATAGAGTGTGTCCTTATAAACACTTGTGCACTATAATAACTTTTAACTAATCTCATTGAGATTAGCCGCCATGGCCGAAATCGGCTAGAAGTATATCTTAAACGTTTTCCTACAGCTCCACCATTGAAGTACATTTATTTGTTAATATCAATACTAATATATAAATGCAAAAGTAACTGTCTGTCTGTTACTTTTCACGCTTAATCTGCTGAACCGATTTAGACGAAATTTGGTACGGAGATACCTTGGGACCCTGAGAAGGACAAGAATAACTTTCACCCCGGAAATTATCCCTTAACGGGGTGGAACGTTGTATGGGGGATCTATCATTTCTGAAGGGATAACTTTCATTATATATGTAGATGTGATGAAAGTTATCCCTTACTTATAGAGCAAAGCGAGGGTGAGTCGCTAGTATCTTTATAAATTATAGTCTCTGATGTAGATATGTTACTGTAAAGTTTCATCAAAATCGTTATTAATAAAGCTAGCTGCAACACTGACCGTGGCGGCGAGTGTCGGCGCGGGGGCGCGTGGCGCGGCGGCGGACGCGGCGACGGCCGGCGCGGGCGCGACGGCACCAGCACGGGCGCCGCCGTGATCTCCTGACCGTCGATTTGTCCTGCAACCACATTCATTATAATTATTTTTTATCATAACTTTTATTATTCACTAAATACTGCCCTTGCTTCACTCATGTGTCTTTACAGCAGCCAATATGACAGTCTATACTAATAATATAAAGAGGTAAAGTTTGTGAGTTTGTGACGTTATAGAGTGTAATCTCTGGATCTACTGAACCCATTTAGATGAAATTTGGTAATAAAGTTTGACACCCTGGGAAGGACATAGGATACTTTTTATCCTGGAAATCATCTCTTAAGGGATCAAAATGGGGATAGAAGTTTGTGTTGGAAAGCAAACTATGGACGAACCCGAGGAAAGTGAGGGTGAGTTGCTAGTAGCCAATAATAGTTAACACATTTTTATTGACATAAAATAAAGCCTATAGCACTCAACAGTAACGTAGCTAGCTTCATGTATATATATTGTTTTTTTGTTTGATGCTTACCTAAAATTGGCTTTTTTAAATTTATTTCTGTTTTTGTATTTTATTCTTACACACAAAAGAAAGAAGAAAAGAAAATTATAATTAAAATACCTCCATCCATATGCTTCATAGCATTTTCTGCTTCATCTGCATTACTAAACTCCACATATGCATATCCTCGACCATTATGTGGATGTAGTCTGTCCATTGGAAACTCTACTGCCTTTACTGCACCATAGGTGGAAAATATTTCGTGAATGTGGTCCCTTGAGACATTGAGTGTCAGTCGGCCAATATGAATGCGAGTGGGGCGAGGAGGAGGTGACCGTTCACGTTTCTTTCTACCTGGTGATCTGTAACACATAAGTAGCAAGTGCAATTAATCTATATAATATATAAAAACAAACTTAGGTTTGTTACAACACTTCGAACTCGAGAACAGCTGGACCGACTTTTATTATCTTTGTTTTTTTGGATTTGTCTTCAGCCAGAATAGCAGAATTACTATTAAAACATCAGAAAAATGAGGAAAAAATTAGAGAAAATTATACCTTACTAAACCTCAAAACGTGCCTAGGGATGAATATGAGTGAAGCGAGGGTGAGTCGCTAGTAATTAAACAAATAGAAATAGCATTACAGATAGTTGTTACTGAGAAAATATAAGAAAAAAAAATGAATCTGTTTTACATTATATTATCATGAGAACATACAATATTCAAATAAAACTACTGTACCTTTCATGTTTATCCTTGTTTTTTAATTTATCATTAGCTGATGATGGGGCTGCCAACTTTTTCTTATCTCCTAATGGTGACCTATCTCTAACTTTTTCCCTGTCAGGTTCTCTACGATCTTTAACTGGGCTCTTATGTGGTGATGTCCTAAAAAATTGTTATATGTTACAAGTTTGGTCTTAGAATAAAGTATGGTAAGTAAATCGTGGTCATTGTGTTTTTAATGATTTTCAACAAATGTAAATGTTGAAGTACATACTTCTTTTTAGGCCTTGAGCGATCATTGTTACTACTGCTACTACTGGATGAGCTAGAGCTGGATGATGATCGCGATGAACTTCCTGAACTACTTGATGATGAACGGGATGAAGATCTCGATGAACTGCTTTCCGAAGAACTGTAATAAATAAGTTATTTCTAACAATTTAAAATAATAGTTCCTATCTCTACATAGTTGATTCGCATAACCTATAAACTTATCAATCATGTAAAACAAAAAAAACAATAACGGCACGAACCTGCCACTGCTCTCACTACTACTGGAACCAGAATCACCTTTTTTCTTTTTATCTTTTGGTTTCTTTTTATCTTTTTCGGACACAACCGATGGAGATTTGTTTCGAGCCCTGTAAGATTGTAGCACAAACATTTAATTTATAGTCAACAGTCAAAACAGTAGTTAAGACGAAATTAATTATTTAAATACATTACTGATGTGTATAACTTACATTATTTATCTCAAAAACGATCTATAAAATTAACAAATACGTCTATCCGCACTTCAATTACAAACACAGATAATTAATTATAAAAATTATCGCGCCATTTTGCGGCGTCAGGTGGTTAGTGTTGCCTGTAAAACTGTTCTTCTAACACTTTATTTACATAAAAAATTAAAACGTGATTAAAACTAAAGAATGAAAATGTTCATTATGAAATAATAAAGTATATACTTTAATGATAATAATAAGCATCCTTTATTTTAGAAATAGTTTTTCAAATATTATTGCCAATTTTAAGTATAATAAGTACCACAAACACCGAACACGATTTATTATACCTAATAAAAATATCTTAGTTACATAATATAGGATTGAGGATTGATTGATTATATCAATATCAGAAACACAACTTATCCTTCTACAACAAAAATATATAGCTTGGGCAATTATTCTTTTATATCAGCATTGGAGTGGTGAGAGGCTATAAGCCCCTTGCTGTGCGACACGAGGATTGCATTAGCGCCGCTGTATTGTTTGATACATCTATGATCCTCTGACCCCTTCTATATAATAAGTATATCACATCGTTTTAAAATTTACATTTCGTATATACGAGTAGTAAGTTTTGTTTGACTAGCAGCTAAATTATGCTACCATGATATGTACATAATATATAATACTGACTACAACAATTATAACATTATTATTTACTGAATTAATGAAGATGATCTAATGATGATCTAATAAATAACCTATTAGGTATCACTACATAGAAAAGTACTGACCTCCGAACCAATTTTGGCCACAGCGGTCAATTTCATTGAGACTAGCCATCTGCGCAGGAGATATTATAGTGAACTTATAAACGCAAGTCCACTGTCTATTCCTGTCACTCCCATATTTTGGTAGAACGACAATTTGATATGTTCGGTGACAGATCACGCGCAGGACTGACGGCTTTACGTGCTCTTCGAAGTACAGGGGTGAAACAACTCAATCGACACAATTAATTGAACTTGGTTTGACCCGAGACTCGAACCCAGGATCTTCGTCCATACTAGCTACCGAGGCAGTTTAAAAACTGCATTTGTGGCTATTCTAGACTATTTTAGATTCTAGTAGCTAACATGGACGAAGCTCTAAAGGGTTCCGTAGCCAAAGGGTAAAACGGGACCCTATTACTAAGATTCCGCTGTCCGTCCGTCTGTCTGTTTGTCCGTTTGTCACGAGGCTGTATCTCACGAACCGTGATAGTTAGTTGAAATTTTGACAGATGATGTATTTCTGTTGTCGCTATATTAACAAATACTAAAAAATAGAATAAAATAAATATTTAAATCGAGGCTCCTACACAATAATCGTGATTTTTTTGCTCGTTTTTGCTCGCTACTGATAACGGCAATAGGTAAACGCTTGAAATATTCACAGAATATTTAGTTACATATTCTCTTTAAAAATAAATAATTAAATAAAATAAAACAAATAGCAATAGATTTTATCAAAACTATCCGAAAAGTCAAAATAAAATTTCACAGATGATGTATTTCTGTTGCCGTTATAACAACAAATAGGTACTAAAAACATATTTAAGTGGGTCTCCTATACAACAGACATGATTTTTTTGCCGTTTTTACAGTTAATGGTACGGAACCCTTCGTGCGCGAGTCCAACTCGCACTTGGGCGGTTTTTTAATTATTTTGTTATGTAGAATAGTATAAAATACCACACATTACATTTACTCACTCAGATTTCTCTTTTATAAAAATAGGTACATTGATTACTGAAATCCATACTAATATTATAAATGTGAAAGTGTGCTTGTTTGTTTGTTTGTCCTTCTTTTACGTCAAAACGGAGTGATTGAGTGACTGATTGGAGTGATTTTTTGTGTCGAGATAGTTAGAGGACTGGAGAGTGACATAGGCTACTTTTTACCGCGGGAAATTATCTTATTCCAGACCATATTTTGCGCGGTCAAAGAAAACCGCATGAAAACTCGAAAACACACGTTTTCCCAGACATCAGAGTAATCTAGATCGATTTTTCGCGCTCGAAAACAACCATATACCAAAGGGTCTAGCCGTACTTCCATGGCGAAAGTGCCCCCGATAGGAACCTACTCGTATATCGTAACCAATGTTATATTGTAGAGGACACTAATAGTAATTGATCCAGTAAATATTAGATCTATATCTTAGTTATATGATATGGTATTGAGGAGCTATTTGAAAAAAAGTGTCCGGAGACGACTTTTTTTCAAAGCGATATATCTTAGTTAATTTTAAAGCTAGCAAAATAAAACCAAATGTAGGTGTTATAATAAGCTTTATAGTTTATTTTATAGCTTTCCTATGGGCCAGGCCTAAATAAAAGTATTAAAAAAATGCAAATAAACATTTTGTCAATCGATTTCTATCAGATATAATTAAATTACCACTTTGAAAAAAATACATAATAATTATCTATATATTCCCAAGGAGGGTTGACGTCAGGCAGGCGGCCGGTCGTAAAACTTTTGCCAAATCCTTTCAGCAGTACAGAAGATGTAATGCGCCGACCCCAAGTGATTGGGAAATGAGCAGGGAGAAGAAGAAGAAGAATTATCTATATATTGTCTAATAGCATGCCAAGTTTCATTAAAATCCAAGAGGTGCAACATGTCAAAACAAAATCAAAAGTAAGTGCCCAGGCACTTTACGACCATCTTATTGACACTTTTATCTTGCATAACATTTTTATTTTTTCAGTATTGGGCACGAAAGGTTTAAAAAGAAATTTAAAAGATATTTTTTCAATAGAAATTAAACCGATATTCATAAAAGAAATACTTTTAACAGCCATCATCACTATCTTCATTAATTACAACGTGCTTCATATTTATAGAAAAAACACTGGATAATATTTTTGCTGGACGAACTACATATATAAGAATCTTTAAAAACAGTGTACCTACCTAAAACAAAGTGTGCTACCATGTGATTTTCGCATTCTTTCATTATCTTTTGAATTTATTCCGAAAGGTTGACATTTCAAAAAGTAATATATATATATATATATATATATATATATATATATATATATATATATATATACCTATTAAAAAGATTTGTAATGAAAGAAAGTCAAGAAAGTCATTATTTAGACAACAAATCGTCAAGCCTGAGTGAAGCGGGGGCCCGTCAGTGGTTTTGAATATATTTGATATAGAAACATACATAATATAATATTAATAATACGTATTTACTATAACTAAATATGGATGCTGAAGCAACGTAAGAGGGTTGCTGAAGGTCTCCGAGTTCACTTGCTCGAAGGCTGAAATCTTTCAGCGGAAATAAATACCATTACACTACTCATAAAGTACTTTATGGTGCGTTACATTTATATGTGAACTCCTGCTATCTTAAGTATGCCAATAAAATATAAATAGTACCCCTATATTTATATTGTAAGTAGTACTCATAACTTCTATTTGTTCAGGGCCTATGTTTGCTTGAAAGAGTTTTTCTAAACTAAAGCTTTTTTGTTTTTAATAATTAAATATCTTGTGCATAATAGTTACACGTAATTTTTTTATTAAGCTGTTTCTAAATAAGTTTATATATAAAAAAACACAAGAATGAGCTAAAGTCTGAATAAATTTTCGTTTCAATTAACACATTGTACTATGGCCAATTCGTTTAATTCGATTGAAGGAAAGGACTCGACACCGTAAAATCGGCCTTTCGAATGAACGGTGGAATGCAGGTAGCTTTTATACATTCTAGCCACTATTTTATTCAATGTACACCTGTACTTGAATAGTATCTTTTGAAAATAATAAAAGACTCCATATGACTTTTTATTATTTTTAGAATGATTGTAAAATTTCAATGTTATAGACATTCATTAAAATCATCGAAATAATGATATAAAAACTTTGGATCCTCTTAGACAACTCAGGTGTTAGGGCTTATAGCTATTTAGTATATTTATAATAGCAATTCATTTAATTACATCAGTGGAAGATTTTTTTGAAATTAGAGGGTTTTATTAATGAACACATTATAAATTATGTAATCTCCTAAACATAATATTATGCATGTTATACTTATCTTTTTATAGTCAATATTCGCTTAGGCCTTATCAAGTTGCTAAAATACTAATTTTCTATTAGCAACCTGCCTTTTAGTACTACCTTATGGGTATAGATGACTCTATTACAGGTACGATGAGTTCTTGAGAATAGCCTTGCATTGTTCTTGTGAGAAATACCAACCCTCGGTAGTAATTGAATTTTAGTACGTACAACAACATGGTAATAAGGGTAATTATTGTCATCATTAATATGGTCATTGGTCATGGTATTATTAAAACGAAAAAATAAATTTTAATTTAAGTAGGTACTTTTATCTATGTTGAAATTCTTTTTTATTCAAAAACGATTTTCACAGGTGTCTAGTATTTGGTCAATATTTTAAATATTTATCTGCTTCTTAAAGCACGACTAAGTACATCTAGAAGCTGCGAAGTACAGAATGCAAATGAACCAGAAGCAATTAGTGAAAAACACAACGTTATTACGTATTATGTGTTTTTCGTATAGTACTAGAAAAATTAATAACTCTCCAGTCTATAAAAAAAGTATGATAGTATGCTAATAATAGCACACTTTGTATAGATATAAGCCTTATAAAAACCATATGCAAACTATAAACACTTGTTCTCATTGATGTCATTATGTTATGATAAAAGTTGACATTTAATCCAGCTGATAGCGGGCCTTTGAGGTTGGGGCCTATTGTAGTTTAGGTCCTCTAGTTAAAATAGTTAAAACAACTAGCTAAAGACCGTGTCATTACATGCATAACCATACAAATAGATATTTAAAATATACTATGAGTCGGTCGAAATTTATGTTAAACTAGCGACTCACCTTCGCTTCGCTCGGGTTCGTCCCTAGCTTCATTCCCCATACAAACTTTCACCCCCATTTTCACACCCTTAAGAGATGATTTTCGGGATAAAAAGTATCCTATGTCCTTCCCATGGTCTCAAGGAAAGAAGATATCTTTCCAAATTTCATCTAAATCAGTTCAGTAGATCCAGAGATTACCCCCTACAATATTAGTATAGAAGTATAGATGTACAGAACTATATATTTTTTGTCTAACTTGTAGTAATTTGTAATTGATGCCCCTGCTAATGAAAGTGAAAGTAGTATTGCAGGAATTGCCATTCTCGTAGTGTAAGAAACGTATTAAGTTGACTTTGTCTATCTGAAAAAATAGTAGAAATATAATGGAAATAAAATTATATTGAGGTAAATATATTTTTTTGGAAATTCCTTTTTGGTTAATGTTTTACTGTTGATGTAATGAAACTTAAATTTAAACTTTTTTAATAATAATTTTGTCTGTTGGCTTTTTTAACTCTGCCTTTTATCGAGAAAGATTACATGGATATAAATGAGACTGTCGTTGCAGTCCAGATATCTTACACAATAACGCCCTAATTAAAAATATATATTTTAATTGCTAAGTTTTATTTTAATAGGTCATATTTAAAGCAGGCATCGGTCATGAGTTGGTTACTTAAAAGAAACATATGTACTTAAGAACATCTACTGGCTCTAGATCTACTAAATTTACACAACAAAAATGATATTACTTCAAATAAAAACGTTTCGGCACAGTGTGTTAAAATACAGACCCTGATCTACTGTATAAACAAATAACATCTAATACAATAGCGACTATATAACAATAAAACTTTAATGACATCACAACAAGCTTATTTACTTAATTAAAAGGGTCCTTTAATAAATATGTACATTTACATTAGATACCAGGTAGCACAGATTTTTAACTACCTACTTAGTTACCTATATAAGACTAGCGGCTCACCCTGGCTTCGCTCGGGTTAGCCTTTAGATAAACAAAAACAAATCTATCCCACGGGAACCGTACATTTTTCTCGGATAAAGAGTAGCCTATTTGTTATTCTGATGTATGAACTATATTATTGTAAAGTTTCATTAAAATCCAATTGTAGTGGACGTGAATCAGTAGTTTTTATGTACTAAGATGCATAAGTTAACTATAGTTTTTTAATTATCCGGGATTTCTTTAATTATCCGGGATGAATTGTTGACCGGGGATATAGGCTACCAACATGCAAAATTTCTTTTAAATCGGTCCAACAGTTTTGGAGATTAGCCCGCACAAACAGACAAATAAACAAACAGATAAACAGACAGAAACAAAAAAACTAAAAAAAAACTATTTCTCTTCTTACATCCCCCTGACTTGGTTTTTAGCATTTTTTTCTATGTACAGACATTCGACTTCTCCAGTTTTATTATATGTGTTATAGATAAAAAAAAATGTATTTAAAATCGGTACTATAAGTCAACTAATTTTATCAAAAATTGTCTAAATGTTAAAAACTGATAAAATATGATTGAGCCCACTCACCATAGATCCCGCCATTAGTTTACTGTCTTCTGCAGACAGCTGTAAATTACTCAAATATTTTTACAGAGTATTTGATTAAAAGATGTGCAAGCACTTTTAATTTAAGAAAATGAAAATATGAGAAATATTCAAAGCCAGTTTGAATTATAAACTTTGTATAACTTATAGTTGTAACATATAACAAAAGTGCAATAAAACAAGTCGGTGGGAATACTTGCTCCATATAAAGGAAAGTGCGGCGCGCGAAATCATAATAGCTGTTCGGACTTCACGCCGTTACGATCGCCCAACAAGTTATCCTATTGATATAGGACTTGAATTTCGTTAATTCTGTTATTTGAGTGTAAAACTTCGGAACTTTAAGTGTTTTGTGATTATTGCGTAAGTATACCCGAATACATAGTGTCTGTATGCAATATATACTCACAATCATCACTGCAGTATGTATTATTTTTCGTCAAAATACATTATTTATATTATGTTGAAATTTACTAATATTTTAATATATTTATTAGTGGTAATCTTTATATATATAATTCTTCTGTGAGTGTGTATGTCACTGAACTTCTCTCAAACGACTGGACCGATTTTGATGAAATTTTTTGTGTGTGTTCAAGGGGATCTGGGAATGGTTTAGATTCACAATTTGAATAATAATTTTCATCAAAAAATTATTAAAAAAAGTTTGAAATTTTCAAATTAAAGACGTGTAGACAGGACAACGTCTGTCGGGTCCGCTAGTAATATATAAAATATTTGATTATATACCAGATGAATAAAAATATTCAAAACTGAAATAGATGTACATACATCATAATATTAACATTTTATATTAATACAAATGTCTTAAACAATAAGCTTAAAACAAGCTATTAAAAATTAATAAATATATTTCCTAATTAAGTTAAAAACATTTAAGATAAGCTTGACAATGTACAATGTACATCAACATGTACTTTAAACAACCTTAAAAACAAAATATTGATTAAAAAATTATCGATATTTATTGTAAAACACGATTGTAAGATACAAGAGGTTAATCATAAAAGAGCTACGTACGCCTACAACACTCTACGATGCTACGGTCGTAGTAGCGGACGATTCTTATTTTGTAATCTACACATATAATAAAATTCTAACTAAATCGAATGTACATAAAATATTTTTTGGAAAATCTTATTGAAATACTTAGATATTATTATCGATACAGAGGCTGAATCTATAGTTTGTAGAATTTTTGTCTGTGTGTCTATTTGTCTGTCTGTAACCGCATCACAGAAAAACTACTAGAGGGATTTTGATGAAATTTGGTATGGTCATAGCTGGTTATCCGGGTTAACATATAGGATACTTTTTACCGCGGGAACATATCTCATTTCTGAGAAAAAATACAACTGGTTAGAATAAAACCACGATGATACTATATATATTTTAGCAAGGTAACTTACTAAATAAGACAATAACTATTCAAAATAGCTTATCTTGAAAAAAAATAACAATTGCGTTATTTGATTTGGTTTTTGGTCATCTAAACGCGGGCGAAGCCGCGGGCAATGCTAGTACTATATATTATTTAGTTTTTAATACTTTTTTTTAATAATATTTGTCTATAATCTATAGAGTAATAATAGATACCTACATATAGGTATAAAACATTTAAAACCTATCTTTAAGAAGAATTAACTGGAATAGAGCCAGACGTTTTGGTACTTTGAGCTGTTTTTATTTATACTGGTTTAAATAGTGTGGGTATATATTGCTCATATTAAAGACAATTCTTACCTCATCTCATTTTCTTAAAAGCCGTTCAAGTTACTTAAAATGGCGCGCATACACAAACTTAAAACACAATAATATTATACTCTTTTTGGTACGATCAGGTAAGAAAAGCTATTGGGTGAAAATGAGAATTCTTGTACAAGTCGTTACAAAATTGAAAACTTGTCGTTAATGTTACAAAAATTACTTTGATGTTAACAATATAAAACGTTAATCACCTATTTATCGGTGCGACACATAAACGATTTGAAGTAAGTAATAAATATATATTAATTATAACATTAAACATTTAAATTACCCGACACGACGTAGGAAAGGGAACTTCTTATTTGCTTAACTTTTTATATATACCTAGCGACTCACCCTTGCTTCGGTTACGGTTAGTATGAACTACAAATCTTTGAATTTCTGTTCTATAATATGCATGTATTATACATATAAACCTATTATAAAACCGCATCAAAATCCATTGCGTAGTTTTTAAAATCTAAGCATTTATAGGGACAGACAGACAACGAGAAGCGACTTTGTGTTATACTATGTAGTGATATATATTTATCAATTTTCGCATACCAATCAAAAATTCTTGTGTCTCAATAAAAGTAAGCCCAACACTGGTGAACAAAATGTTTTATTTCTCTACTGCGCTATATTTCTGCATAAGGAAACTAGAGAGGTTTCATTTTGAGTATTTATTAATAAATAAATCGACTTTTTAATTTTTTTTAAATATACAAGATATTTTAATAAATGTAATTATTTTATATTACCATACTTATTGAAATATAGTAAATTAGGGTGGTATGGCCGTATTTTTTTGAACGTAGAATTTTTTATAATAATAAAAAAAAGAAAATGTGCAATTTATAATTAATCTTTTATTAATCAACTTTGGTTTTACAGACTTTGGTTATGATTGATTAATAATCATTTCAGTAATTAAATATATAAAATTAAAAAAAAAAAAGGAAATTGGCTATCTTATCCGACCTATCCGTCTCA